AAGTCGAAATTTATGTCGGAAATTAAGTCGAAATTTATGTCGGAAATTAAGTCGAAATTCATGTCGGAAATTAAGTCGAAATTTATGTCGGAAATTAAGTCGAAATTTACGTCGTAAATCAAGTCGAAATTTATGTCGGAAATTAAGTCGAAATTCATGTCGGAAATTAAGTCGAAATAGCTCTTGATCTTTTTCCACCTGATGGTGTAAACCTTTGATATTTCAAACTTGAATTCTTTCATCTAACAGAATTCATAGTTTTAAATATCAAAGGTCTACGGCATTGGGTTGCAAAGATATAGATATTAGAAAATCAGAGTTTGTGACAAAGACTCAATTCCTTTGATTAAAAAATACATCACAAAGTTATCTTTTCTCCCCAGTACAAAATCACTTCAACTTTCCTTTCTTCTATTGCATGTAGAATCAAGGTAAACAATTCAGAATATTTCAGAATTAAAAAAATAAAATGTCCAAAATTTTGATCCCGTAATGCTTCCTGGCTAACCCGTTTATTCTCACCTAGAACTTATTTTCTATATAAAATACAGCATACAAGGAATGTACTATTATTATTTGAAATTGTACTGCAGTGGTTTGAAGCTTACTGGATACACAGCGAGTGTTAGAGACATTTCATTCTTTATTGCGGACATTTTGCAACATTATACCAATACAAGGCTTCTGCAGGGAAAACTAAAGAAACTTTTAAATTTTCTTTTAGCTTTTGATGAAATATAAAATATTGGGATTCAAGTATAGTCGATTCTATTTTTTTCTTGTATTCTTTGCTCGTTTCTATCCTATTCTAAAATAATCAATTTTATTAAATTCTATTGCATTTTATTATTTTATGCGTTTTATAATCATATCACAAAGATTACAACTTTGTATATATTATTTAGTATTGTATTGTATTGTATTATATTGTACTAGCTGAGGTCCGTCGTTACCCATGAGTGTCCACAACAAATGTAAGCCAATTCGGTCCATCCGTTTGGCCGGCTATAGGGAACATATATATACGAATGTCTTGTTTTATTTCATAAATTGTATTGTATTGTATTTTATTGTATTGTTTTGTATTGTATTGTATTGTATTATATTGTATTGTATTGTATTGTATTGTATTGTATTGTATTGTATTGTATTGTATTGTATTGTATTGTATTGTATTGTATTGTATTGTATTGTATTATATTGTAGGCCTGGATTTGAGCTACGTGGCCTGCTAACTGCTTGGAATATAATGCTTGCAGTTTTCAGTATTATGGGAGCATCAAGGAATGTACATTGTTAACTTATCTTTTATACATTTCAACAAACTTTTTATAGTTTTTGGTTAAACAAACTTTTTATAGTTTTTTGTTAAACGAACTTTTTATAGTTTTTTGTTAAACAAACTTTTAACAGTTTTTGGTTAAACAAACTTTTTATAGTTTTTGGTTAAACAACTGGATGTTTGTTCTCTCGAAGGTAAAAACTATTTTTTTTAGATTTTTTTTTTAGATTTCAATTTCTGTTTGTAACACATACTATATTTATTTATTTTATACTTTCCCAATCCATGGAAAATTAGTTCCAAAACTAACACTTGGCCCAAATCTGCAAAGTTATCTTTTTCAAGTATGTACATCTTTAAATCCAAGCCGAGTTATACAAAACTAAATCATACATTTATCAGAAATGGCTAAAACTGTAAGAATTCGTTTTTTATGATTCTTGTTTTCATTTTGGAAGATATCCCTATTTTGAAACAATTACCGCATTTCAGCTCATGTCGCGTTTTTGAATCACATCCTGGATTTGAGACAATTACTCAGGGGCGTAAATAAGGATTCTTTAGGGGGGGGGGTTATTTTTTATACCCCCCCCTGGGAAAATATCATGATGTATATCAAATATTTGGGTTGGTTTAGGTTTGATTTGAATTTTCCACTCATTTCTGGCATTTACAAACTCTGTCAAATAAAGGCTTCATTTCTTACCTTTCAGCTTTCACCTTGTTTTATATCCTTCATTATAGTTATTCATTTTACATTAACTACAAAGATCTGTAAATAAAAACTGGATTTATTTTAGTCTATTATTACTGTTAAATATATATTAAATACATACTGACAAGTAACATATAAAATATTTTTACTCTAAGAGGAAAAAGAGGTGTAGAGTGATATATTTCTTTAATATAACAGAAAATTGGGAGTTTTCTGAATGTCGTATTTATAATTATATAGGTCCCGGAACTGGGTGACACAGTGTTTATTGTATTCAGAAAACAACAGCTGATATTCTTGCATTGGTGAGTGCTGGTTTATAGATATATTATAATACAATAATAATAATAATAATGCAGTGATAATAAGAAAACTGTGGAACATGAAGACGACATTACAGCAATATTTAAGTGTATTTGATGTTTGTACAAAACCGCGTATGTGGTTTCTGGACCTGGATGTTTGTTCTCTCGAAGGTTAAAAATATTTTTTTAAAGATTTTTTTTTAGATTTCAAATTCTGTTTGCAACGCATATTATATTTATTTATTATATACTTTCTTATTTCAGGGGAAATTAGTTCCAAAACTAACACTTGGCCCAAATCTGCAAAGTTATCTTTTTCAAGCGTATATATCTTTAAATCCCAGCCGAGTTATACAAAACTGCATCAAACATTTATCAGAAATGGCTGAAACTATTTATTGAAACAAGAAGTGTCAACTTTTAACTAATAATTATGTGTAAGAATTAGTTTTTGATGATTCTTGTTTTCATTTTTGAAGATTAACAATTACCGCATTTCAGCTCATGTTGCACTTTTGAATCATATCCTGGTTTTGAGACTCAGGGGCGTAAATAAGGATTCTTAAGGTTTTTTTTTTATTTTTTCTGAATGTCGTATTTATAATTATATAGGTCCCGGAACTGGGTGACACAGTGTTTATTGTATTCAGAAAACAACAGCTGATATTCTTGCATTGGTGAGTGCTGGTTTATAGATATATTATAATACAATAATAATAATAATAATGCAGTGATAATAAGAAAACTGTGGAACATGAAGACGACATTACAGCAATATTTAAGTGTATTTGATGTTTTTACAAGGCTAATATTTTTACTAAACACTTGTTGAATCACTAATTTAGTTAAATGGGTCTGTTTACACTGCACAATTGACGTGTCTCATGCTCATTGGACTTTTTAAAATTATAACTTGATTCTATATTATAAAACAAGACATTCATATATATGTTCCCTCTGACCGGCCAAACGGTTGGACCAGATGGGCTGACACTCATGGGTAGCCTAGTTTTGTATAAAATTTGAAATATGATAAGTTAAGAATATTTACAGTTCTAGACTTTTAAGGTGCTTCGCGCCCATATCTTCTAATTGTGGCTCTATCTGTAAGCATATTCTCTTTGTCTATATATAAATTTGGCTTGTCTGTTTGGGTGTCTGTCTGTTTGTTTGTTTGTTTGTNTGAGGTCTCACTTGAATTTGGTCCCGATCGGTTCAGCCGTTTTGACGTTTATTGGATACAATTTGACAAACAGACAGATAGACTTGGCAAATTACAAATAAAGATAGTTGTGTTAGATTAAATAATAACACGCATTCAATGGTTGTCGTTGACTAAAATTATGAGAAATAATATTTTTATATTAATACTATTAATGTATCTAGGTATCACCATGTAACTGTACTGTTGTATGCCTGGTACAGCTACACTGAGTACACTGCTCCAGCCCGTTGGTTCATTGTCATGAACTATATTGTACACTCAATCATGTACAGTTACTACGCATGCAAGGCTCTTAGGTAAACTGTACGGTAACCGCCAAAAAGCCCTTTTTATGAAAACGTTTTAGATTTGACCTTATTTCCATTTAGGACTTTTTTCTTGTTTTTTTTTAATTCCTGTGATTTTATTTTCTGAGACTTTATTGGCAGCCCCCATATTATTTTATAGAAAAAAGTCCCAGGAATCTAAAACTCAAGACTTTATTTCCTAGGACTTAAGAAAATTGGGACTTTTAACCAAAGTTTTAATTTTTTTGTTCCTGAAACTTTTTTTCCTTTTTTTCTTACATAGATTCAAACTGTACAGTACTGCAGTGGTAAACTGTACAGTACTGCAGTGGTAAACAGATTCAAACTGTACAGTACTGCAGTGGTGAACTGTACAGTACTGCAGTGGTAACCAGAAATCAGAGGAAATTCTTTCGCTTTAAAAAAAAAATATTTTGCCACGTCACTAGAATTTAGTAACAAATAAAAAACCTTCAGCGATATTTTTTAATAAAAAGAAATAACGAAGACGACAACGATTTCACGGCTTTTTGAATACAGATTTTTTTGAAGTGGTAATAGTCAATGCAAGAAAATACCTTTTTTTGTCTGCAAACCTTGTCACAACATTTTTTTTTAATGTTTTTAATTGAAAAAGTTTACGAAAGGAAAAACTGGTAAATGTGCCCGGAACTCAGAACAATTAAGCAAAGAGAAATACCAAACATTACTTATGATTTTATCGATTGAGTTCAGTTACAAGTTTACAACAATATTGATTAAAAATCCATTGTGGTTTGCAAGAATTGCTTGCAAAAGAATGCCTTGAATTTAAATTAATTTGATTAATTAGCTGATTAAAGATAAAATATGTGTAATTGCTGATTATATAGTTTAATTATATTCTTACAAGCTCTGCAAATAGTTAAAATATGAAATGTCAAATTTTTTTCTCATTCATCTTGTAATATCGCAATACGATTCTTATTCCGATGTTCTTTGTAAAATGATTGTTAACGATGGTGCTAAAACCAAACTATACCAGTCCTTTTTTTAAACGATCGCTTGGTTTTGGAGTCTTTGATCGGTAACGAATCTATCGAAGTTAAAAGTAAAAACTCAAATTTTTCTGATGATTTAAACATTGTTTAATTTTAGGGTTCGGGTTCCTCGTTGTATTGCTATGCTGATTACTAGTCTTCAACTTCTACAGATGGTCATTGGGTGTACAGTTAACTTCCTGGCCTTCCAGTATAAACAGAACGGTATGTACTGTACAATGAACATACATTGTCGTTGGTACAGTCGTACAATGTACATATATTGTCATTGGTACAGTTGTACAATGTACATCAATTGTAATTTCTACAGTTGTACAATGTACATATATTGTAATTGGTACAGTTGTACAATGTACATACATTGTCATTGGTACAGTTGTACAATGTACATACATTGTCGTTGGTACAGTCGTACAATGTACATATATTGTCATTGGTACAGTTGTACAATGTACATATATTGTAATTGGTACAGTTGTACAATGTACATACATTGTCATTGGTACAGTTGTACAATGTACATACATTGTCGTTGGTACAGTCGTACAATGTACATATATTGTCATTGGTACAGTTGTACAATGTACATCAATTGTCATTTCTACAGTTGTACAATGTACATATATTGTAATTGGTACAGTTGTACAATGTACATACATTGTCATTGGTACAGTCGTACAATGTACATATATTGTCATTGGTACAGTTGTACAATGTACATACATTGTCATTTCTACAGTTGTACAATGTACATATATTGTAATTGGTACAGTTGTACAATGTACATACATTGTCATTGGTACAGTTGTACAATGTACATACATTGTCATTGTACAATGTACATTCAACAATATTCCGACAAAGTTATTTCAGATTGTATTTTGTACAACTTTTTTTGTACCACAAATATAAAATTTTATTCTGGCATTGCAGGCAAAACATCCCTTTTATTTTGTTGATAAATGATACAGTGAGACTCATAAAACTGTGAAAGTGAAAGACAACAGTTTATCAATCTGTTCTGTGTAGTTGATGTTGCTATTTATCAATCTGTTCTGTGTAGTTGATGTTGCTATTTAGCAATCTGATTTGTGTAGTTGATGTTGCTATTTAGCAATTTGTTCTGTTTAGTTGATGTTGCTATTTAGCAATCTGATCTGTGTAGTTGATGTTGCTATTTAGCAATCTGTTCTGTGTAGTTGATGTTGCTATTTAGCAATTTATTCTCTGTAGTTGATGTTGCTATTTATCAATCTGTTCTGTGTAGTTGATGTTGCTATTTAGCAATCTGTTCTCTGTAGTTGATGTTGCTATTTAGCAATTTGTTCTGTATAGTTGATGTTGCTATTTAGCAATCTGATCAGTGTAGTTGATTAATTAAAACCATTAATTGAGTCTAACAGTCGTCTTTTTCTTCCATAGTTTGATTAGTATCCCTGTGCTATTTTTTAGAAATCTTTTATCTTGAGTCGCACTTTACATTTCGAGGTCTTTTTTTAATGTGAAAAAATGTATTCCAGAAATAGAAAATGAAAGTTTTACCATATGAAAGAGTATTTTTAACAAAAATATTATTATGCTGAAAACTGGTTTACTTCATACATGAAACTTGGTTTTCTTTACTTCCATCTGTAGATAAATAAATATACATATAACTAGGCTTTTAGGGCGCTTTGCGGCCATCTTCTGTTTCAATTGTGAACATGTTCTCTTCGTATATTGTAATACAAAAACACAACAAAACTTTTGCGGATTTTATAAAAAAAAATTCGTGAATTACTTGTGATTTAGAAAACAGTATACAATAAACATGTACAATGTACATAACATTGATCAATTGGTTTACGACAAAATAATCCTAATTTCTAGGAGTTGAATGTGGAGTGAGTGATAATAACTTGAAACTGTCTCTGATTATGTACACAAGCTACTTTGTACTCTTTGCCAGGTACATAAACTTGGCCGGATATATAGTTCAGAGCCCGTTCTCTCCATAATAATGTTTAAACAGTGGCCGTGTTGTTCACGTACTTTAGGGGACGATAGTTTGGCCGCTAGGTGTCTCACGCAAAATTCTTATCTGATAGATAGATAGTTCTTACGAGAGACATCTAGCGGCCAAACTGTCGTCCCCCAAAGTACGTGAACAGCACGACCACTGTTTAAACATTATTATGGAGAGAACGGGCTCCGGCATAGAGAAAGGAAACGAAGAGGTAAAGCTTACTTCAGATGTACTGTACACTTGGAGAGTGATTGTATTTTTTTGGGGGTGGTAAAATGTCGATAATTGAATATTTCTAAAGATAATTAGATAGACACTTAATATGGATTGTACACACAGGCTTGTATACTACAGTACATTACAGTTCAGTTGTTTGTTTATGTTTAAGAAAGTATGACAAATATTACATTGTGAAAAAATGCTCAAACAATTCTTCTTGTAAAAATGTGAGTTTTTTCAAAATACCAAAACATTGTGCATGGCTATAGACTTACAGGTTGGGAGACTTCACGGTAATATATAATTATATTTGCTTAATTATCTACATTTTACCACCCTCGGCCCTTAAGTAATACGATCACACATACAAGTGTACAGTGCTTGATACGTAAACATCGTAATGTACACAACCGACCTCTTTATATCAATTAAGATGGAGGTTGGTTGTATACATCTGAGGTAAGCTTTACCTCTTCGTTTCCTTTCTCTATGAGTTCCTGTAACAAAGTTTTAGATAGTTGGTATATATTCTGATATATAGAAGATATTTTTCCCACATCATTTTTGATCGTTTATAGATCTAAATTAAGATTTATGGGACAAATCAGAAAATTTAAAAAGAATGAATCATTACAAAAAACATGTTGTAAGGCTAATTTCAAACTTTTCTTGCAGAAAATACCAGTTTTTTTAGTATTATGTGCGTATTATGGCGTTGAAGCTTGGAGATGAATCTAATATGATATGGAACTCTCTGTATAAACTTTTCATTGCACAAACCACTTCGCTTTGCGAATTTTTCTTGAATTTTTCATGCTTTTCTGCTCTACCGAGAAAGTTAATATTTTCGGAATAATAATATAGTAGCTGAAGTGCCCGGCGTTCCCCGTGGAATTAAAAAGAAATATTTTTTAAATGTCCATTTTTTAACAAAAAACGAATTTTTAGCCTATGTTACCCCAGGATACCCACAAAAGTTGAGATTTTAATGACGACCTAAAAAAATGTAAAATAAGAACTTTTGGAAACATTTTTTTGTAATTCTGATCTTCCGTAAACCTTCTCTAGCTGGGGCCCGATCGGTTTGGCCGTTTCGACATTTTTTGGTTACAAACAAACAGACAAGCATAATATATATATATAATGATAAGAATAAGACTAGTATCCAGAATACTTTATACCTTCAAATGTTACCAAATACCTTTTCCTCGTTAAAATATGCATCAATATGTTTTAACATTATTTGGAAATATTTTTAAATGATTATTAAAACTTCTATTTAAGGTTCTTCTATAATGCTTATTTGATCAAATCTCAGCGGAAAGAATTAAAAACAGAATCCGTAGATGCCCAAAACAATATAAGGTAACATTTAAAATTTTTCATGTCAATATATCAAGGTAACAAATTGTTCTGATGTGAAAATGTCAGGATGTCAAGATGTCAAGATGTCAAGATGACCTGATGAAAAAATGTCAGGATGTCAAGATGTCCTGGTGCAAAAATGTCAGGATGTCAAGATATCCTGATGTAAAAATGTCAGGATGTCAAGATGTCCTGATGTAAAAATGTCAGGATGTCAAGATGTCCTGGTGTAAACATGTCATTATGTCAAGATGTCCTGATGTAAAAATGTCAGGATGTCAAGATGTCAAGATGTCAAGATGAAAAAATGTCAGGATGTCAAGATGTCCTGGTGTAAACATGCCATTATGTCAAGATGTTCTGATATAAAAATGCCAGGATGTCAATTGATGTCAAGATGTCCAGATGTAAAAATGTCAGGATGTCAAGATGTCCTGGTGTGAAATGTCATTATGTCAAGATATCCTGATGTTAAAATGTCAGGATGTCAAGATGTCCTGGTGTAAAAATGTCATTATGTCAAGATATCCTAATGTAAAAATGTCAGGATGTCAAGAAATCCTGATGTAAAAATGTCTGGATGTCAAGATGTCCTGGTGTAAAAATATCCGAGTGTCAAAATGTCTGAGTCAAATTCTTTGATGTCATGCTTTCAAAATGTTAAAATGTCCAGATGTCAGCATATATCTGCACGTCAAAATGTCTGGAAAAGATGTTTGGATATCTTTGAATGTAAAAATGATGTCTGCATTTTCAGACATCTTATTAACAAGCCTTTATAGATTCCAAATTAAAATGGACGGATTGAATTGTTTTTGTTGTTTCAGAGAACGCAAGGATCAGTAGATCATATCTTAAACGTCATCCCTCAAATTTGCAGGCCTTGCTACAATCAAAACCTTTAAGGAGGCTTTTTCATGGAAAATCTGTGTTAACAACTGAGAAAAAATCTGCGAACACAACTAACAGGAAAATCTGGAAAACAGCTGATAGGAAAATCTGGAAAACAGCTGATAGGAAAATCCGGAAAACAGCTGATAGGAAAATCTGGAAAACAGCTGATAGGAAAATCTGCACAACAGCTGATAGGAAAATCTGGAAAACAGCTGACTGGGCAGAGAAAATTGCTGACAAAGCTTACAGGCTGCTTGATATAAATACTGAAAACTGTTTATTAGATTAAGTCCTTGTATTTTAAGATTAAGTCCTTGTATTCTAAGATTAAGTCCTTAAAATCCAAGATTAAGTCCTCGGCTTCCAAGATGAATTCCTTGTTTTCCAAGATTAAGTTTTTGTTTTCCAAGATTAATTCCTTGTATTCCAAGATTAAGTCTTGTATTCCAAGATTAAGTACTTGTATTCCAAGATTAAGTCCTTGTATTCCGAGATTCAGTCCTTGCATTCCAAGATTAAGTCCTTGCATTCCAAGATTAAGTCCTTATATTCCAAGATTAAGTCATGTATTCCAAGATTAAGTACTTGTTTTCTAAGATTCAGTCCTCGTATTCCAAGATTAAGTCCTTGAATTCCAAAAGTCAGTCCTTTTATTCCAAGATTAAGTCCTTGTATTCAAAGACTAAGTTATTGTATTCAAAGATTAAGTCCTCGTATTCCAAGATTAAGTCCTTGTATTCCAAAACTCCCAAAGTGATGTTTGTAGGTAAACATAAAACATGGGATTTTAGGCCTGGTTCTCGTAGTTGAATATTAGCTGATATGTACAGAACGCGTAGAGCTTCTAATATCCATGTAAAATGCACATCGTACAGTACGTAAACCCTGCAAAGATAATTTAAGTATTTAGTTTTTTTTTAACAATTAAAAACTTATCTACAATTAAACATTTAAAGTCTTTGCGCACAATACAAATTCAAAAATAAAAACAATAAAACAAAATGTAAGAAAAAATCAATTCACTTTTAGTGTAACAGACTGTATGTCATTTCACACTGCTCAATGCTCATTGTGAATAAAATTTAATTTAACTATTATATATTTGTAGTTTATCAAAGGAAGCCTGTAGTTCCTGTAGTAAACCTGTAGTATATAATCAAGCTCAATTTCTAATATATAATCTAGCACTTAAAAAGGACCAAAACTTTAAAAAAAACTTACGTAAGTGACAATACTTTGATGTTTTTCTTAATTGGTCATCGCCATCGGCGGTTTAAAAACAGAACGGTATTGTACTGTACTACAACTTGTACTGTAGTGCGATGTGTAGTGTATGGGGTATACTGTACTGTACTGTACAGTGCTGTATTTTATTGTATTGTACTGTACTGTACGGTACGTACTGTACTGTACTGTACTGTACTGTACTGTACTGTACTGTACTGTACTGTACTGTAATGTACTGTACTGTACTGCACTGTACTGTTTATGATTGTTTCTGTAAACTAACTAGATTTGTGATTAAAGCTAAAATGAATAATAATAATGAAAATTGAACATTGAACATCCATCATTGTTAATTTAACTATTTATATATATTATTACCTGTGTGCGAGAATAAGGGAAAGTGATAGTTTTGTAGAATTTTCTTTCATCCCCTTATTTATTGTACACAAACTTTAATAAATTGTACTTGAACGCATGAACATGTTCATTTATGTACATTATGCTTGCGATCTGAGCTGCACTGTAAAGTTCTTTTTGAACATATATTTATATGCTGTATACTTGTTAGTGTACAGTGTACATTGTAAACTGTAGTTTTTAATCCTAATTAATCCTTATTATCCTGTACGTCCAATTGTCCAGCTTACATTTTCATTGTACTATATTATTATTATTAAATGCACTAGAGAAACAGCAGGCCTGTTACGTAGAAGCCATTGATCCAGGGGCGTATACAAGACTGGGGGAGGGGGGGATATGGGGCTCCGCAGTCCAAAAACTGGAAAGTGAAAAAAAGGCCCCCCCCCCCCATTGCACTGTACGAATTCTAATATACGCCCCTACAAAGAAACATTATGCATGTTGTTTAACAGAAAAAGTTGTAATATATTATAGCATTTGTTAACGCTCTGAAATCTGATTTAATTGTAAAAATTAGTTTAACTTCTTCTGTACCATGCACTCTCTGCCACATTGAATTTGTTCAACACTGCTCACCCAGTTCAACTACAATTGTCAATTCTCGCTTCTTAATAATTTTAAGTGCGAAGGAGCAGGGTGCATTTTTAAATTTGTCCAGGGGGGGCGGGCTCGAAACTCTTCCCCCTCTCTTTCTATGCCCCTACAAGAGTGTATACTAAATGCATCCTATAGCAAACTTGATAATTCTTTATCGCAAAATTTTATTTTAATGTTTTATCTGTTTTTTTTTATAGTCTTATTAAAAATACCATTTTGTGATTTAATTTTAAGATTTAAACGCAAAAAAAGTTTATTTGTGATCAGACTTGATTAAAATAAATGAATAAAAAATAATATAAAAATTTAATTGTTTGAGTTTAAATAATTTGTACGTCTTCCTACTTTTGTTTATTTATTTGTAAACAATAACAAATCAGTTAGCTAATGTTATTCAGAGTAATTCTTCATCTCATGTAAACAAATTGCCCTGTATTCCATTAAATTCAATTCATTCATTCGTATTTCTATAAGGAGCTGTTACCATTAGGAAGGAGGTGGGAGCTGCGTATTGATGATAGTTTTTTTGGTGTTTTTATAGTTAGGGGAATCAACCGGAAGCCGTTCCTTCCATGAACTACATTGGTCGATAACTTGACGTCGCCATTGGTCGTCAAATGTACGGAGAACTTATCGGATAAGAATTTAGCATGAGACATCTAGCGGCCAACATATCGTCCCCCAAGGACGTGAACTACGTGACCACTTTCTATGGAGAGAACGGGCTCGGGTATTACTTTAAATGTCAGGTTTTTGGACTTGGATATACCCAAGTACTAAGCGATCAAAAGGCTCCAGCATTTTGTAACCTGTCTTTAAAAGTTTGTGAAATTAAGAAAATTTTTATTTCAGAGAGGAAAACCTTAAATATTTGTCAAAATATCGATGCTGTCTATATACTAAAATTAATATTACCATATTGTCAAATTACTGAAGGGAGACATTCCTTTCTAGTTAAAGAATATATTTAGGGGCGGGGCCTACCCCCCCCCCATCCCTCCCTGGAAAGTTAAAAATAGTTAAGCCTTATTTGACTAATTCCTGTGAACGGCTTTTTACTAATATCCTTAGTTTGAACTAGGCGAGGGAGGGAACCCAACATGCTATGAGCCTCTGTCATGCACACGAGCCTCCCAGACTTGCTGGGCAGATAGAGCCTCTGGCAGTAAGTAAGAGCCTCCGCTATACAGCACAGTTTTCATAACATCTTGCTTTTACATGTAATTATTTCTATTTTAACAGTGGTACAAGAATTTTACTTACGATTTATAATGTTTATTGATTGTCAGGTTTTGTAACTTATATTGACTCTCAAAGTGATTTTAAGATTTATGTTTTACAATAAAACATTTCTTACGTAGTGAGGGGGCTATTTGAAAATTTATCTTTGAACTGAACTAAGTTAATTTTGTTTCTAATGATTTAGGCAGTATCTTTTATTATTTGCCAAAGTGAAATTTATTTGCTCTTAATCTGATAATCTGATAACAATTTCACAAAAGTATTGCTTAAATCAAAGATTATCAATTTCAATTGTTTTCAGAAATTTTCAATGTTTTCCTTTCTGTGTAAAATGTTTTTTAATTACTTAACTAGGCATTCTATAATAATTTATAAATACTTCTGATCTTAGATGAACTTTTTATGCCACTAATTCAAAAAAATATGATTCTTTACTGCATGTTTATAAATCAAGAGTTTTAATGAAACTATTCTGTATAGCGGAGGCTTGTTACCTTGCAGCGTAGGCTCTTGCTGCTGGGGGTTCCCTCCCTCTCTAGGCACAGCTTGCTTCCGGCTTAACTTCTATATATAAATTTGGCTTGTCTGTTTGTTTGTTTGTCTGTTTGTTTGTTTGTATCCAATAAACGTCAAAACGGCTGAACCGATCGGGCCCAAATTTTTTGTGGGACATCTAGGGAGCCCAGGGAAGGTTTATGAATCATCAAAATTTCAAATATTTGTCTCTATCAAAATTCGATCGTCATTAAATTTTTTAAAATTTTGAAAATCCGCGAAATTTTTTGTAAAAATCCGCGAATTATTTTTGTTTAGTTTTACGATGTACACAAAGAGAACATGTTCACAACTAATTTAGAAGATGGGCGCGCAGCGCCCTCTAAGGCTAGAAAGAAGGGCGCGAAGCGCCTTGAATTTCTAGTAACTATAAATTAAACTGTAATTGGTAGTTAAACTATGAATTAACTCTATTACAAATTAACTAGATAAATTACGAGTTGTCAGTTTAAGACAAAATGGCTGAAGCTGTAAATGTTGCAAAAGCTAGTAAAATGGAACCTGCTTGGCCGGCCTTCAGGCCTACCAAGCCAGATCCGGTTCTAGGTTAGTATATTTGATGTAAAGGATGTTGACAGGGTGTCTCAATTAATGACTACTTCTGTTTTGTCTTAGATTCAAAGAAGGCTGACCACATTTTGGAAAGCTCATATGACTTTAATTTTTTTAATGCATAATTATTACTTATTATTCATATCAATTTAAGATTCTCGTTTCTATGTTTGTTGGGACACCCAGAAGTTTTCTGAGTGAGCTACTCATATTTATAAAGGGGGTTGTCAGATTCAAATTGGCACCCTCCCATTGAATCTTAATATTATCAATAATCGTTATAAAATATCGACGTGGTTTAAAGCTTGAATAAGATTTCTATTCTAAATTATTCATATGTGTTCCTGCAGCAAAAATGTGCATGCCATTAAGAAGATAAACTGCTATTTATTTGCAACTTTATCTCTGAAATGTTATTTAGCTGTTCTGTTCAGGAAAAAAGGAGATGTCACCTGAACAAAGTTTGATTGAATTTATATCAACCTCAGCTTCTCTTCATGGTGTCAAGAAAATGTCTCTCCGAAACCTGGAATGGGATCTTCTCAAGGTATGTGCTATTGTTCATCTAATAAACCATTGGTTGTCCTGCTTCAGTTTATCAGAATTCTTAAGCTTACTTTGGATGGCAGATTCACATGTGCAAGTGTGAAGAAACCTTAACTTCATCTTGCAGAGTTATTCTTATATTTCTTTTCAGAATGTAGCCATTTAATTTGAGGGTTACATAAAATTGTATTTAGAGCATGTTTTGGAACTTAATTTTTATGAAAGATTGTTTTGTGCTTTTCTGCATTAGCAAAAATATTAGCTTTAAAAGATTTTTTACTTGCTGTGAAAATTTTAGGTGTTTCCTTACAACATCATGCCTGCTAATGCAGCAGCCTGGTATATGGCTAAACGTAAGTTCTACGCTGATCAGCCAGCTGACCAGCAGCTTCTGCCCTACCTTCTCAACAAGTATCCTGAGAAGTTTCATATATCCAAGCAACAGGTAATTTAAAGGTGACCAGACATGTTTTTCTTTGACCTGCTACTTTAAAGGGGTGACTGACAAAGGTTTTTAGGGTGCCATTGGAAATCTGAAACGTGTTTCTCTAAAAATTTGAATTTTAACTGGAGAAGAATGTGGGAATTATCTTTGTTTTGTCCTTAGGTTGAATTTCTTGAGGTTTACTCTAAAGAGACTGCTAAGCGTAAACTGAATTATCTTGTTCAGTTTGGATTAGATGCATATTTCACCCACAAGGTAGCTAAATTTGATTTTTCAGCATTATAATTTAAGTTCAATTGTTAAATGCCTAATTTTAGTTCTAAAATCTATTGTTTGTTATCAGGTTGATGAGTTTGGAGTGTATTTCTTTGATCCTACATACTATGAAGTCACTGAACCTTTCCATGAGTCAATCAGACTTTGTGTGCCAGGAGTCAGGTTAGTTTATTGTTTTTGAACTCTTAAATTATGTAACATTTGGTAAGGGGATTAGTTACCTTACCCCCCACCCCCTATGAAGTTTATTAGGGATGGTCAATATGCATAATTTTGGCTAACTGGGTTTTAATGATCTTATAATATTCATTCTTCAGATCCAGATTAGTGTCCGCTTTCTTCAACCAGCAGAAGCAATTCCACTTTGAGCAGCATTCTAACAATCTTGCTTCCATTTCCAAGCCACCAGGACTAAAGGTAGTGAAAAAAGTAATTTAATTATCTTAAAACAATTTTAACCTGTTGGCTTAGGAGACATTTTTAACTTTGTTTGTGTAGGTTATGACTAACATGACCGGAGTGATTGTGTCTATGGTAAACAACCAATATGGATTCCTGAAGTTTGGTAGTGGGCAGAAAGCTTTGTTCTGTGCCAAGGGATTGTACAGAGATGGCTGGCAATATACAGGAGACCCTTTGCGACTTCCAGCAATGTACTTTGATGCTTATCAGGTAAATTCATGTTAAATGTAAATTCATGTTAAATGTTTTAAACTCAAACTAATAAGAACGGTTATTACTTTGCTGTGAATTTTGAACACTGATCCAGTACTGAACCGTGTACATCTAAACTTTTGAAGTTTTCTGTGCATGGTAATACAAATTTGAAATATTTTTTATTCAATAATTTAAAATTGAGGTATGTTAAATTCAAGAATAGACAAAATCCCCTACATTATGTGATTTATAATCAGGGGTGTATTCAGGAATTTGTCCAGGGGGTGCTTAAATTTTTTTCTCTTTCCAGGGGGCTCAGCACCTGTTGGGGCCTGAAAACCCCTAGAAATAAGATTTCACTGGTCCAGGGGGGGGGGCTTGGCCCCCATTGCCCCCTCCCCTGAATATGCCTCGTGTTTATGATGTTTTATGTAGCCATTTAAGTGTTGCAAGGCCTGTTTCTCAACCGTAAGTAGAATTTATTTTATCTGGAAATGAATAAAGAATTATCATAAATAATGCTCATAAATAATGCTCGGGCCTTCTGTATTGAATCTTGATGCTTAGGTTGGAAAGGGATCTGGACCTGTTGATGACAAGTGTGATTGGTTTGCTGTCTTGGTTTGGTGTGGCAAGAAGCCTGCTCCAAAGCACTACTGTTCCAAGACTGATTTTAACTCCACACCAATTGGATTTCCCAAACCTGTAACCCAGCATTCTGAAGGAAGGAAGCTTAGGCAGCCTAGTAGCAGCATGATGATTGGTCAGGTACCATTTTTTTTCATGATTTGTAGCTGACCCACAGCTAAGATCCTGTTGTGGCTGACTCGAAAAGAATTTAAAATGCATATTAATCAAGTTGCAGTATGAGGTACAAAGTCTGTTCACTTTGAATTCTTGACACTGCTAACAACAATTATCCAGGAGTAACTAGTTTTCCCCTATCCATACTAATTCTATGGTAGACAAAATGAAAATTAATCTTGACCCTTGTACAGGTTGTAAGTATTCGTAAGAATGGTGCAGTCATATCAGTGCGCGAAGATTCTAAGGACAAGGTTTTTGTTCCTGGCTGGAGCAAAGAGAATAATAAGAGGTAATTAAACTCTAAAGGCGTTTTAAAGAGGGGCTATGGGCCGGGGGTCAAGCCCCCCTGGACCAGTGAAATATTTTGACGCTGAGCCTCACCTGGAAAGAAAATAATTAAGCCCCCCCTGGAAAAATAACTGAATATGCCCCTGAAATCTAAACTCCTTACACTATCAACATTTTATGAGAGCTCCAGAGCTGAAAACTTATGTTTTGGCACCCTTAATCCTGATCAGAAATATTTATCCATTCAGAGCTGAAAACTTTAGAATTAGATATCTTTAATCCTGATCGGATAATTAATCTGGAGATTAAAAATTAGTGGAGAACAAGCAATATTTAATCTCGAAATTAAGAAAAAGAGTGGATTAAGCCAATTAATCCCGATATCCACCATTCTAAAGTTTTCAGCTCTGAACACTTCCTATTTAATTCTCTTTTGGATATCCCTGGTGGGTTCTGACCATTGAGAGCTCTTTGATTGTGTGCTGAATTTCTTAGCTTCTGATTGGCTGGTTGGTTTCTGCAATTAATACATAAATTGGTATCTCCTGAGATGTTTATGCTAGACCAAGTTTATCTGCAGAGAGAATAGAGATTAAGCTTTAAGCTTTTTATTGGGAGTAATGTTGCTTTTTGCCCATGGAACAATTAAGTATAATTAATTCCAGGGATGGACTATGGTTGACTACCTTGACTGGAGACACTGTTGGTCTACATGATCTTGTTGCCTATTATGTTGACACAAAAGAGACTATGCCTGGATTCTCAGCGGTTGGGAAGAATGTGATGGTTCTCAAGGAATATGAGGTAAATTTTTCATAAACTTGATAATGGTAGATATTAGCATTAATTGAAATACTTTGCTCTGTTGATAAATTTTAAAATTGACTTAAATTGTGGTTGGATGACATGTGTGTGTGGCTGCAATTTATATTCCATCTCTACCTCAAGGATATTTTTGAATTGAGGACACAAATTACTGTTTGTCAATATGAGTGGGGGGGGGAGGATTCAGATTGGTGGCATTAGAAATTTTAAAAGATGGATTGAGTGGTAAAACCTTTAAATAAGAATAAAGACCGTTTCAGTGGAGTGAGAATATTGACAAATTTTATTTTCTCATTTCACTACAATTACTTCCCCCCCCTTTGTCGAGGAAAAAAGCCCCTGGATTAAGAATTTAGTTGCCCCTGAGATGTGTATTCTTAAAGATTAGGCACAGTTCACTGAGTTCACTGCCTACTGATTATAAAACCGGTCTCTAATTGCGTACACTCACAGTACACTCTGTTATCATTGTTTTTTTTTTCCTCCAGATTTGTTTAAAAAGCAGTTTTCGTTCGACCTTGTGTTCGCATATTTATAGGATGTTGTCCTTGTCAAAGTTTAAAAGTTGTCCTTATTTTGAAGTGATATTTTTATTGTCCTTAGTTGTCATGTTGTCTTATTTGTATTTCTTGAAGTATACTTCACTCTCATATTTGGGGTCCGTCCAAGTATATGATTATGGACCCCCCCCCCTNCCCTCGGGATGAAGAAATAAAATGAATATAATTAACTTTGAGATAATTACTCTTGAAATCGAGGGCAGAATTGAAACAAAAGGAGAGCATGGAGAAGGATCAAAATTTGTTCTCTAAGACAGGTCCAAAAATCTTTCTCTAAGAAATTACCGCTTGTTTGATGACATAAATTTCAGAAATTTCAAGAAATTGCTGTTTTTTGGAAATATGTAGCAAGAGGACGATATTTCAGGAGTTTGCTGTTTCTAAGAATCGAAGGAACAGAATGTCTGTTGCAATGAGTTCAGGCGCTAACTATAATCCTCGTAATAGTGAATCCTATCTCTCTGAAATGTCGGATTCTATGGATGACTCAGAATCTGAAGTTGTAAGTTTTACTAAAACTTTAAAGCGACTGGAAATGAAAAATGAAAGTGGGTATAGGCTAAAACCCAAGATCGAGACCTATAAGAGTTTTGTCTGATGTTCCTGTCTCGAGAAATTTATACTTTGTTAAAATTACTACTAAACTTTTATATGCGAGATTTGGTACAAAATTTTTAAATAGATCATTTTATCATTTTTTCTGTTAAAAAAGCTTCAGGGCTTTATTTTATATCTATAAATTTTGCTTGTCTGTTTGTTTGTCTGTCTGTTTGTATCCAATAAACGTCAAAACGGCTGAACCGATCGGGCCCAATTTTTTTGTGGGACATCACGTGACCACAGGAAAGGTTATGAAGGATAAAAATTTGAAAAAATGTGTTAGGTTTTTAATTTTGTAAAAAAAATTAATTCTTACATACGCGATTTTTTTTTTAATCCGCAAAAATTTTTTCTTTTTAAAATGCAAACAAAAATAACATGTTCACAATTTAAATAGAAGATGTGCGCGAAGCGCCTTAAAAGCCTAGAAAGAAAAAGCGTTTGAAAATAAATTTAAATAAAAACGTTATTTTGTAGAACAGTTTAGACATATTTTTTGAAACTTTTAAAAATCTTTTCTAATCAATTGGCAAAAATAGCCCAATCGGGATAGGGTTGACAATGCATTTTTTAATTATCATTTGAAAGCAAATTTTATTATTGTCTTCAGTACATTGCTCTGACTGGATAGATATTTTTAACTATCTTTGTTATTTAAAGCACACAATTGGACAGTTTCACGTATGTTATTTTTTTCTTTCTACCTAGAAAAGTCCACATGGGGGACGTGATAGTGGAGTAAGTAGCGCTAGAACTACTCCTAGCGGCAAAGTAGAACCATTGAAGGTGATAAAAATTATAATTTGTTAAACCTAGAGGTTTTTAAAAATTGTTAGCGTTTTGGTCAATTATATGAATATATTTTCTACTGGGTAAAAGGTATTAATTTGAGGGTTTTCTAAATTTTTTGCAAATTGTAAGTGAAGCCTCAAATGAATTAAAAACTTACTGCACGTCACTGGCCAAACCCAAATCTTGCATTGCTTAAGCTGGCCAATATTTATTGCTCTTATTTTGAAGGTTTTGAAAGTTTCAATAAAAATTCGGCCAACTTAAGAAATATGATTAGATAGTTTTTAATATTTCTTCATAAGTTCAAAAAGATCACTTGAACTAACGACAGTTTCTTAGGTTGGAAAGGTGAAGAATGATGGGAAGATGTTTTGGAGAACTAAAGCTGCATTTGCCAGTGTCGATGAAGATTACAGGTTTTAAATGACAATTTTTTTTTTCCACGGCACCATTTGCTGAATCTGTAAAAAATGACTTTGTACATTAACAATGAATCTGTTAGGGTGTGGTGAGTGTGGTTTATGTATCTGAATATTTAGAAATAGTGCGGATGAGAATCATGGATCTGGAGTAAATGAATCTCTATCTAGGAGTAGTGAGAATTAGGATTATGGGATTATGGATCTGGAGTATATGAATCTGTATCTAGGAGCACTGAGGAAGTTATGGGTGTGGAGGATATGAATCGTGAGTATTTTAGATTTGGATTTTATGAATCTTCTTAGGAGTAGCGAGGATGAGGATTATGGATCTGGAGCATATGAATCTGATGATGAGATTGGTCCCGCTGAACCTAATAGGGTTCGGCTCACATCAACCATCTCTTCCGTCAGCAACACTTCCAAGAGACAAGCAGCAAAGAAAAGGTAAATAGTCATTTTTAGGCGTTCTTAAATTAAACCTTAACCTATGGGAGGACCCTGAGGGTTTTTTATCCGTTATAATCTATTTAAGAGCGGATGATTTGAGGAAAGATGAGCTCCCTTACTGGATCCGTGCCATCTCATATCCAGAGGAATATGATGAAACTACAGGATACTTCATACCTATCGACAAGTAAGGCTTTTTTTATAAAAGGTTTTATTTTCCGACCTTTTATCATACTATACAAGTAAGCTTCATCTTTTCTGTATACAAGAAGTTTTTTTTTAATGCTAGTAGACTTCTATTAAGATAGAAGCTTACTTGTACATAAGTAAGCTTCTTTTATTTTTGTCTTATCTTACCAACTGTCTTCAAAGTAAGCTTTAATTTAATCACGAGTAACTTTTATCTGAATACCTCTTAAACAAGTAAGTTTTATCTTAATTCTTGTCTATGAGAAAACTTATTTTTTTTAAGTAAGCTCTATCTTAATTCCTGTATGAGAAAGTTTCTCTTAATTTCTGTTTTAAGTAAGCTCTATCTTAACTCCTGTATGAGAAAGCTTATTTTAATTTCTGTTTAACCCTATTCCTGCTGGGGAGGGGGGGGTCAAGTTGACCCCCCCCCTGTAGGTCTGGTATTGGTCTGAGGCTGTTGAAATTTTTTGACGTTTCCTACATACCCAAAGCCCTCCCTTTAGGCCTAAAACCGGGCTTTAACTGCCAGAGTCCTCAGGCACACTGCCTGAATGACTGATTTTTCCTGTAACAAACTAAATCTTTGTTTTGACCCACTTCAACTTGAGAGATTTTGATAAAATTTAGCTTTTTGGAAAGCCTTTGACATAAGGAAACGAATTGCACAAGTTTTGCGAAAAAAAATTGCAAATTTTTTGCAAACAACCTGTCTAAGGAAATTTGTTAATTTTTAGTTTTTCTTGATTAAAAATCAGGTTACTTAAAATTTTGCAAATTTTTTTGCATATTTGAAATGGCATGGTCAAGGGCTTTTCAAAAATGTATTATTTCTTTGGACAAACTTTTTTAAAAACCTTTTTACTATATAACTGGATTTTGCGATAAAAAATTTAATTTTTGCAAATTTGCAAATTTTTTTGCAGATTCTAAAAGTAGAGCACAAGAGCTTTCCAATGATGTATCATTTGTCATATTTGGACATCAAACATGGGATTTAGAGCGGCGCCCAGCATATCCTGGTTTTCAAGAAAGCTTATCTTAATTCCTGTTTAAGTAAGCTCTATCTTAATTCCTGTCTACGAGAACTTATCTGAATTTCTGTTTAAGTAAGCTCATCTTAATTCTTGTCTTTGAGAAAGCTAATCTTAATTTCTGTCGAGAGCTTATCGGAATTTCTGTTTTATAGTTTTTATCGTAACAATTTTCTGCAAGCAAGGCTCAGTTACATTTGTTAGATTTAAAGGGAGTGAAATGTTTTCAGAATCAGTTCTTTAAAATTATTAAATAACGACGACATAAAATGTAAAAAAGTTCTACAATAAATACAGACTTAATGTAATTAATCGAAGATAAGTAATCTTGTTCAATTATTACTTTCTATTTTCTCATTCACAAAGATTTTCGCAGATTTTCTAGAATTGTTATTGAAAAGACGACATTTGAAGAAATCTGCGAATAAATTCAAAGATGAGAAATTCAATAACAAACGAAATAATCGATTTAAGCATTGATTTATTGACTTATTGACAATTCTTATGAGAAATATGTTCCTAACCATCTAATTAGATTACTGTATAATTTTTACCTTATTTTTCGTTGTCATTTAACAATTAAAAAACAAATTCTGAAAACGTATCCACCCCCAAAGTAGGAGTCTTGAACGTCGAATTTGTGCTCAAACTCAGGATTTACAGATCTTGAAAAAGTTTAATATGTCTCAAATGAATCCGAAAGAAGTTTTCTATAACACTGCATACTAAGTTCAACTACCTTACATAGCTGGTCACTCCCTTTAAGGAAGTTTTTGCGTAACAATTTTCTGTAAGCAAGGCTTAGTATACGGTTCTTGGCTTATGATAGATTATTTTTTTTTATTCTCATTAAGGTGGTATGTTGAAGAGAAAGATTATGACTATTATCTTCCTGATGAAGAAGAATATGAGGATGATAACGAGCAATCTGCTCCTCAGGTTCCTGGTTTAACCATTGTTATCAAAAGGATTGTTTTGGGTTGAACGTACGGATATGAAGTAGTGTGATTTTTAACGGGGGTTTTAATGGAGATTTTTATTACTAGATGCGAGTGTTCAGGCTATTAGGAACTTTCTCACAAATTTTTTTTTAACATTATTGATATTTCTTCCCACCACATTGTTTAATTCTTGATTTTATGCTTAGGTTGACGAGAAAGGTGTTGATCCTATTGATGAACCTGCTGCTGAGGGTGATCAGAAAGCTGAAGAATCAGCTGTTAAAGAGAACGAGGATGAGGAAGATCTCTCTGATGAACTGAAAGAACTCCTGAAAGAGGCGGAGGAAGATATTCCTGAAGATCTTCTTGAAGGAAAGCATAGACAGAGGTATATTTTTACTTCCGATTTCTTTATTTTATCTTTTTTTCAGATCTATAAACGAGAATATTCTATTCCTTAACTTAACTTTAGAAATAAAAGACTTGCGGCATTCAAATTAGTTCACACTCCAATACTGAATGAAATCGGGAAATCAAAGCTTGTGGGTTCCAGGGGAAGTATGGTTGCAAAGATGAAATGGACGGAATGGCATTGAGGGTCCTTTGAAATTTTGGCTGACAGATCCTTTCATGTTCTGTTTCCATCAAACCCCACCCTAGGTCTTAGTTGATAAAAATTTATTCAGTGCTCTCCGCCTGCCTACCCCTGAGAAGATAGTGATATCTAAACCAGAAGATGATGTTGAGAAGAAAAATGACGAGATCATAACTATTGAAGCTCCAATTAAGGTTCTTAAAATATAGAAAATAAATTCAAATTCATTTGACAACCTAGAAATTTAATAAGAAATAATGAAGTATAAAAGTTTAACAGTTTTAAGTTAATTTTTGTTTAGGAATTCAAGACCTGGCTTCCGTTTAGCTACCTTCAATTCGTTCAGAATATTCAGGTTATTTTTATTTGTAAAACTATTGTGAATTTCATAATAAACTTGCCTGTAGCTGCACCTTATAGCACGTGTGCTGAACAGATTTGATTGGTGCCTGGAATTTCTCCCAAAAAATTTGTATATTTCTAAAATATTTTTTAATTGAAATGAAAATAAAATTTTGACTTCTGCTCTGGTTCAAAGCTTATTTGATCCTAATGGCCTTTGAAATAAGACCATACACAAACTTTTCATAAAATTACCTTTAGCACTTTTTTTTGGGATGATGTGCTATAAAGTCTTCTCATCTTGAAGTTTCTCACTGCGAACCAAAATAACTGATAGTTATAATAGCAGTGCAATAATTTTTAATTAGCTTTAAACAACATGGTTTCATTGGTTGCCGGATTTCTCGAAAAAAAATTTAATTTTTTGGATAAAACTTTAATGAAATATCTATTGATAAATATTTTTAAATATAATTCAAGTACACAATTGAATTACCTGTAACGCTGATTGTGTGCATGACATCCTCAAAACTCCAATCGCTTGATCACGATATCCAATGTAGGCACTTTAAATTTAGAATTAATGAAGATTCAGAACAAGCATTGATCTAGATATACTACAAATTAAGAGTTCTATTTTGATCATTAGTCCTTTTACTCCTTGTTAAACGGGCTTAATATTTAGGTGGATATGGAAGAGTCTTCTCGAGAGAGAGATGATGAATATGTTCCTCCTGCGATCATCCTCGATCCTGAACTGGATTATGATGAATTCGATCCTGAAGAGGTAAACTTCAAATTAAGTAGAGTGCATACTTCAAGCTCATGGCTCTAAAACGTAAGATTAATGTTTGCTTATAACTTCAATGTATTAACTTCTGGTTGATTCCTATATTTATGACAAACAAAATTTGCGTTAAAGGTCTTAAGGGAAGTGGAGGGGGGGGGGGAGATTTCTTTAATTGATGTGTTGTTAGTGTTAATATTTTAACGTACGTTATTAAGATTAAATTAATTAAAGGTTATTCCGGATGATGAGCTGAAGGGTCTGGTTGAGGATTTAAAGATTCCTCTGTTCAAGGTTGGGAATTATATTCCCATTTGGGTCCCGGTTGACAGTGTTAAGGTAAGAAGTTGATCTCAAAGAAATTGGACTTTAGTTTATGCTTCATCTTTCACTCATTCTGACTAAGGACCTGCACTTGAGTTAATAAAATCTAATTTTGGGCCCGATCGCTTCAGACGTTTTGAAGTTAGTGGATACAAAAAGTCTGAAAAGCTTTCAGGGCACTCCGCGCTTATATATTTCAAATTAACATTTCTCTTTGCACAAAAACATAAACGGATATTTTATTAAATTGGATTTTCAAAAATTTTGAAATTGTTATACAAACCTTCCCTGGGGACATGTGCCAGACAAAATTTGGGCCCGATCAGTTTAGCCGTTCTGACCATTGGATGCTAACACAGACAGGACAAACGGACAAACAATGTATATATAGGAAAATTATTATCACTATCAGAGAAGTCCTTTATAAACTTCTTGCTGCTACATCTTTTCATAAATTAAATCTTAAAAAATTAAATTTCTGTGTTTAAAAAAACTTTAGTTACGCTTATAAAAAAACTATTGTCAAACCTATTTTTTTATAATTAATTAGTACATTACTTATGAAAAGTACAGTACACTACCACATTAAATGGTTAGATCGACCTTAGAAGTATGATGACATAATTAACTGCACCTGCATGTAGACGCAATCCTTAGTCGGTTAAAATGATTCATTTAATCCTATTTCTTCTGTGTCGACATAAAACCTAGGATGGTCATATTAGGTACCATTGACTGACGGGTAAAATACGAGTTTTTGGTTTTTTTTTTCTTGCCTGGTTTGTTGGATCCTTAATTTACCAGATTCTTAATTTAATATAGAACTGGGATGTATATGTATTGCAGTAACCCGTTCATAGGCTGTTATTCTAAGGCCTCCTACAAAAGTAGAACCTAACCATTTCAAATTTGATGTACTATTTTTAACTTTTCCGTCAATATTAATTGTTCATTTATAGGAGCGGAAGGAGCGTGTTGTTCTTGAGAAAAAAGAAGCTGAGAAAAGGAAGGCGGACGAAGCTGCTAAGAAGGAGATGGAAGCAGCTAAACGTGAGGAAGCTGCTAAGGTAGAAGTTGATGCTGCTGAGAGTAAGGAAGCTCCTGGAAAAGAGGGTTCTGCTGGAGTTGATATGAATGCTGTTGCTGCTAAGCTTGTCGGTGGGTATATTATATTTTGTTCACATCTTTTTTCTTAGCTGTTGATAGTAGAGCATTTCAATGTGAAATTTGCACAATTTAGAGAAGAAATTTTTTAGTCTTTTGAAAATTATTGGATTTTTTTTTTGCTGGCATTGGTTGATCTTGAACCTTGGATCCGCATAATTTTGCGAGTCTGGTTCCAGGAAGTTGAAATGTTGCGGATCCAATGGATCTGGATCCCAAGCACTACTGATAAATACAAATCTGCCAATTAAAGGTGGAACTTCTTTAGAGGAATTTAAAACTTTGAAGCTGTATTGTGATTTTTCAGCTTGGTCCAGTTTTAGCTTGGTCCGGCTTAAGCCAGGGAGTAAGGAATAGAAGGGAGATGCAACTGACGCGGCTCGCCCTGCCATATGATTATGCACTCTTTACGTGTACTCAATTTGTAAAAGAAATTTTTAGAATAGGTTATTGTATGCGCGGGAATTGTACATCAGACAAATATTTCTTATTCAAATGGAGTACCCGTCTGCAAAGCATGCATAATCATATGGTAGGAAGAACCGCGTCGGTTGTATCTCCCTTCTATACCATACTCTCTGGTTTTAGCTAGTCTCAAGTTAAACAACAGATTCTGGTTTGTTTGTTCATGTCCTGTGAATTTCTGAGTAAAAGTAGGCATGATTTTCGGGTTTTTAGGAGACTTGACAATATTAAGATATCTGATCAAAGATATTGGATATTAACAGTTTGCCTTAATTATCAGATGTAACGGTGTGATTTTTCTTCTTGTATCTTCTGTCGAGTCAAAATTCGCAAACTTTGTCCAAAGTTGGCTAAAAACAGGAAAAAATGGCTTACAACGTCCTAGAACAAGGGTTGGTTACCATCTCAATAAAATAATATTTCTGTTTAGAGAGTGGATTGACTCCGTTTATGTCTCGACTTCAGTTGAAGGAGAATTCTGCAGGAAATCCCAAACCTGAAAGGAAGAGTTCGGTAGGACAATATTTAAACCTAGTGAAATTTACTTAATTTGTAGTCTTGGGAATTAAGTTTATCCCACAAACTCAAATTTTCTAATCTCTTATCTTTGCAACCTTTTGTAATCAGAGATATTTCAAAAATAAGAACTGTTAAGATCTTAAGTTGCAAATATAGGGTATTAAAGGTTTTAAATTTGTTGTTTAAGTTCATGTTGGCTTTATTTTTTGATTTTTTCTAATTTAATTCTAAAGATCTTTCGAATGTCGACATGGCAGAATTTTCTGATTTAAAAGGGCTGTATTTTAGACTGGAAGTAAATTGAACAGAGCTGTACTCGAGTCGAAACTAGAGGAAGCTGAATACGAGAAGGATGAAGATACTTCTGAAGTGAGGACTGAAGAGAAGGATGAAGATACTCCTGAAGTGAATATTGAAGAAGACTAGGGAGAAGGAGATTAAGGTGGCTGGAGAAAATGATTCTGTTCCCAGTGAATAATTATATTGTAATTATAAATATTGTAATTTTGAATATTGTATGAATTGGTGCCGATTTAATGGATATTAACAATATGAACCTGAAGTTTAATGATATGTTAATAAAGTAGATTTTTTCTTTAATTCCTTATTGAGTTAATATGAAAGAAAGATTGTAAGAAAAGAGATTAAAAATTTGTTGGATTTATTTCTTATACTTAGATCTGTTGGATTTATTTCTTATACTTAGATCAATTTACTGCATGATAGATTGTACAGTTGTGATTCCTAGGTCATGGATAGATTGGGGTCTCCTATGAAAATCTGGAGGTCTTTAAAAAAAATCTGGGGTCTCCAATGAAAATTTGAATGTCTGAACGAAAATCTGGGGAAATGTAAAGCTAGTGGCCTCTCTCGAAAATTTGGGGTCTCAAATGAAAATTAGAAGTTTAATGAAAGTCTGGATTCTCTTATGAAAAGCTTGGGGTCTCCAATGAAAATTTAGTGTCCCAATGAAAATCTAGATGTTTGGAAAAAAAATGGGGTCTCAAATGAATTTTGTGGGTCTCCAACGAAATTCTGGGGGTCAATTAATGTATAGCTGACGGTTTGTGATGAAAATCTGGGGTCTATTTGAAGCTGGGAGACTCCAATTATAATCTGGGGGTCTCTATCGAAAATCTGAGGTCTCTTTAACAAAAATATGGGGTCTCCAATGAAAAGATTGGGGTCTTGATGAAAATCTGGAGGTTTTCAAAAAAAATCTGGGGTCTCCAATGAAAAGCTAGGGGTGTGCAACGAAAATCCGGGGCTCTTCATGTAAAGTTAGTGGTTTACTATGATAATCTGGTGGTCTCTCTTGAAAACTTGGAAGTCTTCAACGAAAATCTGGGTTCTCCTATGAAAAGCTTGGTGTCTCCAATGAAAATATTTTAAATTGTATTACTAAGGTGAAATTTTGGATGTGCACCAGCCTTGCCACTGGGCTGCTAAACAGTATTCATGAATTATTTTTTTGCATGAAAGCCAAGTAAAAATTAGGTGAATTTCCATTAAATCTCTTAAAAGATCTTTTTATTTATCTTTTATAGACTAAAAATATTCAGGAACTGAAAAGGAGACACCTTGGTCTTAACACTTGTTGGATGAAATGCTCTTGAAGGATTTTCAGCATTTTTACTTTTTTACTTCTGATACAACTTTTTATCTTAAACAAAAATGTGTTCTGCATTATTTTGTTTAATCACATTGGGTTTTTAAAAAAAGAAAAGACTAAAATGATAATCGGTAAACCAAAAAAGGTCACACAGCTCAAGGATGATCATTCTAGGTAATAAAATGGAAAGAGCTAACTCTAGCAGAAACCAGTGCAAAGCGTAAAGCAAAACTTATATAATTTAAGTTGATTTTTAGAAAATTCTTAATATTTAAAAAAGTTAAAAAAATAAATGCTGCTGAGTTTTCTGGGATGATGTGAGATGTTTCGGTCTACCATAAAATCCAGAGATGATTTCAAGGATGCTCGAGGGGAGGAAAACTTAAGCTGCCAACTTTTCCAGAAGAAATTCTGAGTTGAAGCATTTTTCGAAATGTCTTCTTTAAACAATTAAAAGTATAGCGTTCCCGTGGTTCTTCCGAGTTCCCCAATCAAAATTTGAAACTAATAGGTCAAGGGGTTCATGAGTTATGATCGGACATACAAACAGAGATTACAACTTTATATGTATTTAGATGATGTAAGAATGTTTATTGTTAAAGTAAAAAAATGTCTATTGCATAAGAATAACAGCTGTACTCTAGAGATATCCATTTAAAGAGTTTCAGACAGAAACTTTGTTTTCTAACCCCCTATATCTTGCAACCCGATGCCGTAGACCTTAAATATTTAAAATTTTGAATAATGTTTGACAAAATAATCCAAGTTAGAATTATCATAAGGACATGGGTTCACATCAACAGGTTGCAAAAGTACAGAGATTGTAAATTTGGGTTTATGGCAAAATCTTTTGAAGAAAATACAAAGCCTTAGTCTATTCTATAGGTCTTGTATATATGTTGTCTAATTGTGTATTGTAAAAATAAAATTTTTTTATCAATTATTGTATAATATACAATGCAATTGTTTTATGAAAAGGTGTTATTTTTACAGCCCGTATTGATATCTTTATGCAAGAGATTAAGTTAGTTTTCAAATCCGCAATTGAACTAAAAGTGCAAAAATATAAACTCGTTTAACAAAATATAACAAAGCAGACAAATATTTTTAAATCCAAATTAGTTTAATATTATTGGCCATGTGCTGAAGTTTTTGGCAAGGAACACATGGTTTAGACATGGATAACCAGTACTTTAAAGGTTTAGACATGAACACTATACAGTTCTTCACCTCATTCTAGGTAATACTTCAAAGAGAACGAGAATTTTTATATTAATCCAAGGGCTCAGCTACATTTTGCCTAATCACAATTTGCCTAGTCACATTTTGCCTAGTCACAACTTGCCTAGTTCACTTTTGCCTAGTCACATTTTGCCTAGATAACGCAAGAGCATGTTTTTTGCCTATTGCTTATTTTTAAAACAAATTTTGTCAAAAATTAAACATTTTTTTAAAGCTTAACCAGTTAAACTTTAATGAATTAAATGTTATAGGACAATTGAATTGTATCTTGTCCAGCAATTTTAACATTTTTTATACTCTACAACAGATGAACTATGGTTATATATCAGATATACATATTTTTTAATTACAGTTTACATCATGGAGTATACATGGTATACCTACTGGTTATATCTTTATTTATCATTATTCATCTTATTTCTCAATCACAGCCTTTTCTGTGCTATTAGCTTTAGTCTTCAGCAGCTTGTTTGTATGGCCATGGGTTGGAAGTACATCCCCTACCAGGTTTCCAGTATGATCCTCGTTGCTAGGCTTGCAGTGCAAGAACAGCGCCATTTCTCGGTCTCTGCCCTCTCCCCATTGAAAACATAGGAGACGTTATTCGTATCCCTGTAGTTGTGCTCACACTGCATGGTAAGCCCTGCAGTTATCATGGGAGCAATTTCCAATTTGTCTCTCCTTCTGAGTGGTTTATAGAAAATTGAATTATTAAAAAAAAAATTGCGAAATTTTTGCAAAATAAATTTGCGGATTTTTGAAAAATTCTCGGATTGTTAAAAATTTCTTTGTGAAAAATTATAAACTAGGCAAAAAATTCGCTCTTTTGTTACTCTAGGCAAAATGTTACCCTAGGCAAAATGTTATTAGGCAAAATGTTACCTAGGCAAACTGTTACCTAGGCAAAATGTGACTAGGCAAAATGTAGCTGAGTCCTTTTTAGTAAAGGATATACGAGGTTTGATAGACTTAGCCGTAAAATCACCCAGAATTAATTCTGCGCCTATACATTTTTCGAAATGTGTAATCTATAGTCGTAATATATTGGATTGATTCTGGCCTAACCTTTAGTATATCAATATTAGTAAACAGTTGTAAGTGCATACAGTCAGGGGTGGATACAGGGGGAGGGGCGGGGGGAAATTCGCCCCCCCTGAGATTTCGAGGCATTCAGAAGAAAATAAAAATTTTTGTTCCTATTTTTAGAAAAGCTTCTTAATAGCATGCTTCAGGGAAAGAAACCCTAGTGCAAGACAGGAAAAATATCTGTCTTAATAAACTATAATGTGTAATAAATGTATAATGTAATAAAGTTAAACGTCTAGTTTTTTAGTCTTTAGTCATTTTGACTCTTTTTGAGTCTTTTAAGTCAAAAAAAATTTTCGCCTGCTGCGCGATTTTTTGTTCCTAATTATGATTTTTTTGTTCCTAAAAAATCTTGCCCCCCCCCCCCCTCACTTAAATCCTGTATCCGCCCCTGCATACAGTACAGCTAACTGAGCACACAGTTAGAGAACTTTCATCCTCCCTGATTGTACATTAGAGCAGGTCATCAACCAGCTTTTGAAAGTCATACAGCGAATCCGATATTTCGCGGGTCCCATGGCGGCTCTGCACCCCCTCCCTCTGTTACACATTAATTTCAATCGAATGAAGATACTTACATAATAGTTTGTTTACACACAAATATAATCAATTTTACTTCTTTATATATATATATTTTGCTGTTTGTTTGTATCCAATTAAAGTCAAAACGGTTGAAACGATTGGGCCCAAATTTTGTGTGGGACCTCAACAGTTCTGACCGCAAATGCATAAAAATGGACAAATTACAGGAATGTTAAATTTTTTATTTTCCATGATAATTGTTAAGAACAGATTTTTCATGATATGAAGATTTTGTCGGATTTAAAATTTGTCAACAGATGTTCTTTTGATTTATTGGATCATATTTTATTTTATTTTTGTTTCACAAAAACATTTAGCAAGGATACAGTTTTGACATCCATTAAAGATCTGAAAAAAGTCTTAAGTAGGGCTGGAAAACATTCCCATAATGAACAGCAATTTTTTGAAAATTATTGGAAGGTTCTGTTAACAAATAGCAAAAACCATTAAGTATGAAATTGATATTGAAAAAAAAATAATGGACTGAATATATATTAAGTTCTAACTTACAACATGGGAATAATATCTATATCATATATATCTGGTTTGGTTGCTTGGTCCGGAAGTGGAAGACAAGATCCTCCACAGGGGTCCCCCCAGCATCTTGAGATATTGTAGAGAACCAAGATAGTTATCTCTGACTATTCTTCTAGGGGTTTTCCGGGCTGAGAATGGTACAGGGACTGGAGGAGAAAACCAAACCCTCTTCTTTGAACTTCTAGCTGCTAAAAGAAGTGTATGAGGCCATGGAGACATCAGAGGCATCAAAGCCAGAAGTACCAGAGACAGAGGTCTTTCAGACACCGGAGGTCTTCAATGGCAAGGGGGTTTCCAGGCTGGTACAGGGAACTCGGAGAGGACTGGTTTTAATCTTTCCACAGACACAGAGTCAGTCTTGGAACCAACCTGGAGAGAAAAATATTTTGGAGTTTGAGAAACTACCAGGTAGGGACCTCTGTAGAGCAGAGGAAGAGGAGGTCAGGAAGCATCTTCTCCAACAAAAACATGGGTTGCCCGGAGCAAACTTGGAGGAACTTGTGCTGGAACTGAGCATGGCAGAGTTGATTTGTGATGAGGCAGAGCAACAGGAGTATTTTTTATAATCTGATGGATTCATTGAAGATACTCTGGAGAAGGGAGCTCAGGATTATCCAGGATCTTGCACAGTAGAACTATAAGAGAACCAAACACAGCTTCAGAGGAAGAAATTGACAAATCCTCTCTGGGAACACTTCAAAGGCCAAGTAAAACTAGGGGAAGATGATGGAACCAATCAGACCCAGAAAGTCGAGCACGGAGGTAACCCTTGAGTTGGCGATGGAACTTCTCCACAATTCCGTTAGATTAAGGATGGAAGGAAGTAGAAGGAGAGTGAATTATTCCAAGGAACTTACACAATGCAGACTCTACAAAGCTTGTGAAATGCTCTCCGCAGTCAGAGGTAATCATTGATGGTACTCCGAAAAGAAGAATCCACAAGCGTAGGAGAACTTTAGCACAATCCTCTGCTGTAGTTGAGTAAAGAGGAACTGCTTCTGGCCATTTGGTTGAACAATCAATGATGGTGAACTGGTCATGGAGAACCCATTGAACTGAGGAAGACCAACCAAGTTCACATGAATATGAGAGAACCTCATTCCAGGCACTGGAATATGATGAACTGGAGACTTCATATGACTCTGGACCTTACTCCTTTGGCAGTTGAGGCACGATTGAGCCCAGAGGTTTAGATCTTTTGCTAAGAACTCCCAGACAAAACTCTGGGAAATCAGTTTCCGGGAAGCACTCTTACCAGGATGAGAAACTTGGTGGAAGGAGTCGAACACTGCTCTTCTCATAGACTCTGAAACTATTGGACAGTGGACACCTGTGGAGACATCACAAAGTAACCAGGCAAGCCAGAGACGGGAACAGAGACAATCTTCAGGGAGGAGGATTGGTGGAGGACTTGGACTTTAGGACAGACTGCTGAAGTTTTGACATTTCTACATAGGATATTCCTGGAACTGAAGGTGGAGTAGCAAAGACAGTGTAGATAGAACATCAACTGTATCTGGGTCAGGACCAAGACGGGATAAGGCATCAGCTACCACATTCTCTGCACCAGGGAGATGGTGGATATCTCAGTTGAACTCTAAGAGGAAAGACAGGGAGCGTTGCTGCATGGCAGACCAGGGTGGAGAAGACCTGAACAAGGCATGTGTTAGAGGTTTGCGGTCTGTTAATAAAACAAACTCTTCACGTTCTAGGAGGAACAGGAAATGGCAAAAATCAGAGTAAGCTGCGAAAAGCTCCCGGTCAAAGGCAGAGTATCTGGACTGGATGGAGGAAAGCTTCTTGGAGTAGAAAGCCAGAGGAGCCCAAGAACCTGCAATATCTTGTTAAAGAACAGCTCCGATGTGAGAACCAGAGGCATCCACAGAGAGGGAAACCTTGGCGGAAGGATTTGGAACATTAGAGAGAACAGACTTGGTGATGAAGAAAGCTAGCTTAATTTCTAAAGTCCAGGAGAGAGCTGAAACCTTCCCTTTCAATGCATCAGTCAGTGGAGCAAGAATCCCTGCAGCTCTTCTTTATATGTTGAGTATACTAAGAAACCGTTGGAGACCCTTCTTGTCCACTAGGCGAGGGAAAGCAGAAATGACATCAGAATGCATCTGGAGAGGAAAACATCCCTTGCTGGAAACTCTCATACCATTATATTCAACCTCTGGTTTAGCATTCTCACACTTGGTAGGGTTGATGATGAGGAAAAGGAGACGGAGTGTGTCAAGAACTTGGCGGACATGGCAGAGGTGTGACTCTAAGTCAGGACTGGCTATGAGCATGTCATCAACATACACAAAACAGTGGGGAATATCACCGAGAATCTGGTCCTTCATCCTCTGAAAAGTGCAATCAGCATTCCTCAAACCAAACGGCGTCCTGATCCACTCGAAGAGACCAAAAAAAGTAATCACTGCCGTCTTTGGAATGTCACCATTGGCCATCAAAACTTGATAATAGCCCTTAGCTTAGTAAGATCTAACTTGGTGAAAACTCAGCTGTTGTGATGAGAAATAAAATCGGCCAGGATGCCTAAAAGTTTCCAATTCTCGAAGATAAAACTATTTTTAAAAATCTGGCCATGTTAAGGCATAAACATGGATGGACTAAAGTATTGCAATGATTACATCATGTTGAAATCTTCAAACCCATGAGAATGATGTCAAACTTTATTTAGGTAAAACTGAAATATCTTCTACCTCTGGAATGGCTAACCTTCGCCATATAAAACAAATAGCAAAATATTTGGCATACCTCTGCCTTTAATTTTCCCCATGGAACCACCCATAAAAATTCTATGGTTTTCACTATAATTAACAAAACAGATTGAAGTTGTATAAACTCGGAATTATTTGCGGCATTCTACACAAGGAATATCTGAAAATGCGCGTAAAAAAAGTGAACATTTAAAAAAACATTCAACTTGAAAAGTTTAATTCAACTCGCGCAATTCTATAACAATCAGATACTTTTACCAAAAAACTTTATTTGCAGTCAATAATGTTGATGACTTCCTAGCTTATCCAAAAAAATATTTTCTTTGAAAATGAATAATAGAAATATAATTTTTTGTAAAATCAAACATTTATGGATTTAACAAATTCTAAACTGGAGATTTTGGTCCAGAGTCACAAAAAAATAAAAATCCTTATTTGACACCCCTGGCAAACTATTTCTTTTAAAAAACCCAAATGAAATGTTTTGCTTGAAGTACACCTACAGCCAAGGAAAATAAAAAATTAGAAAAAATGGGCAGTTCAAGAAAATGTTCAGAAATAACAACAATATTGTCTGTCCCTAGAGTCTCTATCATACATGGTTGTATATGTCACTGCAATAAAGTAATAATTTGTATTTATAATATTATGTTTTTTTTGCTCAGGTTAGTTTAGAACTTAAGGAGCTTTCCACTTGAAATGGGAATTTTATTACATATATACTCAATGCTAGAAAAAAATACGCAGTTGTTTTATTGTTATTGTGAACTTATTTACACCAAGAAAAAGAAAATTATTCATTTTACAAGGTTACCCATACAAAATGAGACTTCAGAGACGATTGTACAGAATTCATCCGGTCTTTTCCCTTACATCTATGATTCCCTGCAACTGTGAACATTTTTCTTTTCTTACCTAATCATTTATTTAGACATAAAATGATTGTTTTCAAGGCTGAAGACTTAATTTAACCTGCAGAGTCGTAAAATCTAAAGAGTTTCGGGTCGTCTTTACAGTCTCATCCTGGGCGGGTAACCCTGTAGATAAATAAACCCAAGGAACTATATACAGGAACGCCCAACTCAGATATACGCAAATTGTGTACTGTACTCTGTGGGAGGAATGTAAACAAACCCAGTGGCGTGCCCCCACAGAAGTTGAAGGGAAAGGACTAAAGCTCTGATGTGAACAAAAAAAGTTAACATATCAAGGTAGAGCGATGGTCAATATGGAAAATACAATAGCAGTATATTTTTATTCCACCCCTGGGGCCCTTTTCCCTCAAAAATGATGCGTTGCCCCTAAATTCTTTGTTTTGATCTCCTCCCGCTGCAGTACACAGATTTGACGCATCATGCATGATGCAGATATGGCGGTTCCTGGTCTATATATTTCTTGAACATCAATAAACGATTAAAAATTAAGTTGTGAAATTTTGGTATTTGAAGATTCTAATCGATGCAATAACTTTTTTTAACTTTTCAGATTTTAGAAATATGGAATTTATGAAACTTACAAATTTCTGTGTTGTGTGTTTCGTAATGTTCCTTTCCGGTCTATCTTATACTTTGATAACACCCATATTCCCTTTAGAGGTATTTTATCAAGGTACTAATGCAAGGAAAGTTATTTTAGAGGTGTACGCATTTTTTGTACTGCAGTGTACTTTTTTTTCGGCGGAGAAGTAAACACAAGACGGATGTCACAGCCAGACAGAATCCATTTTCACAAAAATAATCTATGAAATATTCTGTTCATAGGAAACTATTATGTGAATTTTCAAAATTATCAAAATTAAATGCTTTTCTCCTACTTGGAAATTAGACGAACACTGATGCATCTATTCTTGTTTACAAATCCGCCCAGAGAGAACTGGTTTCAACATGTACGTAGAGTATTCGTGACTGCAATTAACTTTCCTTGCATTAGTGCCTAATATTTTATAATCTTATTAACTACAGGGTGTTCAATGAATTTATAAATGGATTCTATTATTTTTCTTTATCTGAGTCCAAATTTAATGAATTTGAGCCGGGTCTCAAATCCGCCAAAAACCGGTTTCAATTGAGCGCAGGCTTTAATCTTGAAACATTGAATACAATTTTAAGTGGAACCAACCATATTTGAGCCGCGTCTCAAATTTAAGCCGGAGCTCAAATTCTTTAAATTCGGCCTCAGGTTCTTTAAAAATTACCACCATCTTCTTGCATGCATAATTCAGGTTCCTTCCATCTTGGCTGGCCTCTTACAGGGACTTTAAGCATTATTTCAAGTAACCTTTTAAGTAACCAATTCACAAAGGTACCCTTAAAGCATTTGTCAGACATATCCTTATTAATCTACTAAAAGGCTTTTTAATTGTTAAACACTGTAAACACTGAACACTGTACATTGGAATTCGTAAGCGGTTTTCGATAAGTTTACACAAAGAGATCTCTATACTCTATGAACACGGTTTAAAGGGTATCGTTGTAAATCGGACATTGTCCTCTTTTCTTGGAGGGTCACTTTAATTACGCTTACAGTCCCTTTAAAAGATCATTGGCTAGGGACAAACTTCCTGTTTAAAATGCCCTGGTAAAGAATAAAATGTATGGGAAAACTAAATTTGAGTATTTTCTGCATAAACATTTCGCGGATTAATTTATTACAAAACATTCATATAACAGTTGCTGACATACAAATACCAATTGCATCAGCTGTACATTTTACTATTTCTTTATTGTTAACAAATACTAATTTTTCCCAAGCTCATCTTGTAAGAAAAGTTTAAAACATGAGAGTCATCCATATTTTAAGGCTTTAGCGAGAGAGGTCACAGTCTCTCAATCTGGGATTGTTATGGGTAATTATTTTACAACTATCAAGATACAGGTTTTCAGTTTGAAGGGGTGGGGGAGATTTCCCAGCCACAACAGATTCTCGTCCTAGCCACATTCTCCTCATTTTCTCGTCCGAACCACCTCATATATATATCATAATATTGGAATTACGAGGATTTAGAGGTGGCTTGAACGAGAAAATGAGGAGCATGTGGCTCGGACTAGACATTTTTGTGGCTGGCCTTCCTCCCCTCGCTATACCTAACATATTTTTTTTCTGCAGTATTAAAATTTTAAAACATTATTTCAATTGTAAACAACTCTTTTACCTCTACATTTCTACATTATCTTGGATAAAATAAATAAAAATGGATCCAGGGTCTCGTTTCTTTATTCTTATTTCAGGATCTGCATTTGTTACGTCATTTTTCTCCATTCCCTGGTCCAGTTTTTTGGTATATACTCTTTAAAATTAGGGTTTCAATCGATCAGTTTTGCACGAAAATTACGCAATAATTGTGCAAATAGGTTTTACGTTTCGAGTAAAACTTACATGAAATTTCAAATAATTGCACAAAAGACATTGAGATAAAATTCCGACCGTTAAATTAAAAATTTTCGTATATTTGCTATTTTATATAAGTAAGTAATTAAGTAAGTAATAACGAAAACATATAAAATTAAGTGTTTAAGGAGAAAATATTTGAAAACCTCAAAAAATAGAGGTTGTGGGAATATTTCCCCCAATTCTAAAAAGATATAAAAATAGAAATAGGAAAAGGAAAGAAAAGGAAAGGAAAAGTAAAGCTACATATTATTGTTTACATTATATTTAATATAAACTAGTGGGTGGATTGTTAGTATTTTTCGACGATGAACTAACAACTTTTATATAAAATCTTTTTTGACGGAGTTTGAATTAGAGATTCAAATATGACTGAAAATATGTGAATACCATATTCATTAGATCTAGATAAATACGAAAGCTGTTTAAATATTAACCCTATTCCTGCTGGGGGGGGTTTTTTACATAACTCAAAAAGTATTGGTCTGAGGCTGTTGAAATTTTCTGAATTTTCCTACATACCCAAAGCCCTCCCTTTAGGCCTAAAACCGGGCTTTAATACTAACTGCCTGAGTCCTCAGGCACACTGCCTTAATGACTGTTTTTCCTGTAGCAAACTAAATCTTTGTTTTGACCCACTTCCACTTGTCAGATTTTGATAAAATTTTAGCTTTTTGGAAAGCCTTTGACATAAGGAAACGAATTGCACAAGTTTTGCGAACAAAAAAGGGCAAATTTTTTGCAAACAAGCTGTCAAAGGAAATTTGCACATTTTAGTTTTCTTGATTATCAGGTTATTTAAAATTTTGCAAAATTTTTTGCATATTTGAAATGGCATTGTCAACGGCTTTTCAATTTTTTTTTTGCAAACTGGATTTTTCGATAAAAAATTCAATTTTTGCAAATTTGCAGATTCTAAAAACAGAGCACAAGAGCTTTCCAATGATGTATCATTTGTCATATTTGGACATCAAACATGGGATTTAGAGGGGGGGGGGTCAAATTGACCCCCCTCCCAGCATATCCTGGTTTTCAAGTACCCTAGCAGAGATAGGGGTTAAGTCGACTTTGAGGTTTTGCAGCGTCTCACCAACTCAGTTATACTTTTTAAAGCCCTTTCAGGAGAAATTTGCAAAATCTACGGTTTTGGGTTGCAAAGAGAAAGGGATTAGAAAACTTGAGTTTGTCGCCAAAACTCAGTTTCTTCCAAAATACCCTTTGGCCAGTGCAAACTATACATTAAATAGGAAATTATATTAAATACTAGTAGTGAATGGTGATGGCTGAGGGAGTGACAGCAATTAGTAAAATTGTCAAAATTGGGAAATTCTCTGGTTTATTATTCAATTATAGGAAATTACTCAAATGCATAGTTATTTGGGAAATCTGAGAATTCCCCAAATTCCTATTTTCTTGAAAAGTATAATTGCTGTGGGGACATTTGCAGGGATTGTTAATATTAATAAAATAGAGTTTTTAGTATCAACTATACTAGTATCAACCATACTAGTATCAACTATACTAGTATCAACTATACTAGTATCAACTATACTAGTATCAACTATACTAGTATCAACTATACGAAATATTCAGTTTTTTTTAATTATCCATGTTAATTTTATGATGAAGCTCGCCTAAAGCTTTCTAATTCCAGAAGACGTTGAAAGACGAGTTTTAAAATCAATTTATATGTACAGGGTGTCCCAAGAAACATGACAGTTGGTGAATAGTTTAGAATGTCTTCTTCCATAATTTGTTACGTTGTTTGATGCTAAAGAAAATGATAAAAATATTATAAATATGGCCGGAGTCATATTATGGCAATATTGATTTCAAAGTAAAATATTTTTTGAAAAGTTTTAAAGAGTTTTAACGAAATGAACTGCAAAAGCCTTTGATATCTAATACAGTATATGAAAGTCGACATTTAAAACTATTTACCAACTGTCATGTTTTGTGTGTCAGGCTAGGTAGCTTAAAAAGTCCAATTGTGCAATGTAAACTCATTCCACCAAATCATTGATTTAATAAGTGTAGTAAAACTATATTTGCTTCGTAACAACATCAAATACACTTAAATATTGCTCTAATGTCGTCTTCCTATTCTATTGTTTTCTGGTTATTACTGTAGCCACAGAGGAAAAGAATGAGTTGAAGTGTAATATTTTGTATAATGAATTAAGGTTTCTCAGTTTGGAGTTAGAATTGTATTTATTTTTGCAACATTTGTCGCTGGGTTTGCAAATACACTATTTGGGTAAGTTCATCATTTCTTCAAATCTTATTTTTTTTTTAAATAAAAAGAATTGTTTTTTTTTTAGGTTTATATCATACACAGAAAATGCTACATTATATTTCTGGGTATCATTATTTCTAAGAATGTTCTGTGCAGTTGGAGAATCGTTAGTAGCCTCTACAGCCTTCACTTTTGGTACTATTTGTTAACCACACAACTCGGGACAAACTTAAATCTAACAAGACTTGAACCTTCTCGATAAAGAGAAAATTTCTGTCCAAAAACTTTGTAACATTGCGAACCAAAATAACAGTGTTATATATAGTTATTAGAGTAACCCTGGTGATTTGAATATTATACTTTAAGGTTCAGAGCAGTTTACAAAAGATCGCCAAGGAATAGCAATGGTAATATTTAAAAAAAATGTAAAATTTTTGTTAATATTCTTTAACATAGTCAATGGTGGAGACAAGCTTTGGTATTGGTTTGGTGGTTGGACCTTCTCTGGGAGGTCTTTTTCATAATTACTGGGGGTTTTCCACTCCATTCTGGACTCTAGGTGTTCTAACACTAGTTTTAGCTGGATTTTCAGCAAGCATCTTAAAACCCTCAAAACTACCCCCTTGCAAACAAACAGACAGGCTAGTTCATTTTATTTTATATCATTTCATTTATCAAATTAACTTTTTTAGACCAAACGGTAATTTCTTTAAAACAAGTCTTCCTTTATCTGCAGCAATTTCTCTTTTTCAACCACCATACAACAACAAAAAAATGTTCGCGGATTTGTTCACTTTTTCCCAATATAAAAAATCGAAACTTTTTATGGCCAATTTTTTAAAAATCATTAACATCCATAAACCTTCCCCGGGGTTATGTGAGGTCCCACAACAAATTGGTTCAGCCGTTTTTACGAAGCAAAGTTTAATACAGAGATAACTAAAAAACTCTGAAATAAGAAGCCGACTCTTAGAATCAAGTTATATCTTTAAACAGTCCAATTAGCATGAGTCATATCAATTGTGCAGTGTAAACAGACCCGTTTCACTAAATTAGTGATTTGAAAAAACGTAACAACATCAAATACGTAATTAAGTAAAGCTAAAATGTCGTCTTCCTATTCTATTGTTTTCTGGTTATCATTGGAGAACTCTTGATGTAGATTTTAATTGATGACTGAGTTGAGTATTTTTGTTTAGTTTGTTTGTAATCGGGTAATTTAAATAGCTTTGCTTCCACCTGACTACTTTAATTTAATTTGTCACATAAAGAGCATAGACTAGACAATAGACATATGTTTAAAAGAACAGCTTTGTTTTATCTTAGGAATAGAACTAAATGGACAGACGTGTTATATTGTCCAAATATGTTGTTAATTGTGGTGGTATTTCTGATAACAGGCATAGATTGATAACAATACAGATAGAACACTAGATGTTGTCTTTTCAAATTTTGATGTTTTTGTTCACAATAATCCTGAAGCATAGGAGTTACGCGCATGCCCTCTCTCTGTCTTGTCATTCTACGTTGCCGTGAACGAAAAACCATTAAATCTGGAAAAGACGACATCTAGTGTTCTATCTGTATTGTTATTAATCTATGATAACAGGAAACTCTGCCGGCTTTTATTCTGCTTCATTGGAACCATACCTGGCAGAAAAAGTTAGTTATTTATTTTCCTTTGAAATATATTGTACCAGCTTGGGAACCCAGCTGTGTCTAGAAACCAAGTTTGAGGCAAATCGGTCCTGAGGTTTACAACTTATAACCAGAAATTCTAACAAATCCCTGTCAATAGGAGAAGGTCAAATTTTATACAACAAGTGTGACTTTGTGACATCGTAACTTTTTTAGTTTATATATTTAATGAACAAGTATGTAAAATGAAAATGTATATGGGACATTTAAATTTTTATATTTCTTTTCTTTTTGGGGTTATAGACAGATCGGCATTTTCGGAAATGATGTACAATAACAACAGCTGATATCATCGTTTTTGAAAGCAATAAATTGTACTTCAAAACAAAATTGGTTCTTATCTGATGCCCAATTGTACCCAAGTGAATAAGAAATGACCAAGGGTGTTTTAAAACAGAGATGAGAATTTAAAAGCTTAAACATGAGTAAAACCCGGTCTTTGCGTCTGCTTAGACCCAAATAAATCTCAAGTCAAGACCCGGGTTTTGGATGGCCTTGAGTTTAGTAAGAACCAACCATCTTGGGTTTTTTTCTCTTTAAGGCTCAAGTTTTCAGCAGCTGATGATTATAAATTTTGTAAAATCTTTTATATTTGTATATTAAAAATCTCAGGAATTATTTGTGGTGCCAAATTTTATTAAATATATAAAATAAACATACTAAGAAAATAATGTTCGAGTTTTCGAAAGGAATTGAGTCTTTGTCACAAACTCAAATTTTCGAATGCCAAAATCTTAGCAACTTGATGGTGTAAACCTTTGATATTTTAAACTTAGATTGTTTTGTCTAAAAACATTCATAGTTTGAAATATCTAAGGTTTACGACTTTTGGCTGCAAAGATATATGGATTAGAAAATCAGAAATTGTGGCAAAGACTCACTTCCTTTACATCTCCTTTTGTCACAGCTGATCTGACGGCATTCTGTCTGCTACAGAGAGAAAGCTTGCAAAACAGTCTCTCATTGGTCGAATCAGAACCAATCCTGACTTGGGTTCTATCTAAGCCCAAATTTGGGTTTTACTTGGATTTAAGCTTTTAAAATCTCATCTCAGAAAAACACAAATTTCAAGGCAAAACTTCTGAAAACTTTTTTTCTTTATCCTCCGAGACATGTACAAATAAAGCAAATATCATTTAAAGTAGTTTCTAAGGGACTAAACAGAATGATAATTCTCTTATTAAATACGTTTTACAAAGGGGGGCACAGTGAGCTTTCAGGGTTTAGGAAAAGGGAGGGAGACAAAGACGACATTCAAAGGCAGGATTAATACAAATTAGTAAATATGTGTTTGCGTTAATGAAGTCATAAAAGTTAGCGTAAATGAAAGATTATTTTCAGTTTGACCTGACACCTGGTGGTGTTGGTCTGGTGTTAATGGGCTTTTCTATCACGTACACCATTACAAATCCCATTGTAGGAGTTCTATTGGACTCCGGCTTTGCTCCACTCAGAATAGTTCTGATGGGTAAGTGTGTTTTAATAACTAATATGTCATTAGTTTGACATATTTAACATTTTTTTTCAGGATCTAGAAAAATCTTTAGGGTTCTGGACACAGAGATTAGAATAGAAGGGAAATAAGACTATCTCTCGGTATCAATTTGTTCAGTCCCTTTAAGTCTAAAAAGTGTACAATTCATGGAAATGTTCACAAATCATACGCGTTACATCTCAATAATACAGTATGACCCATGGACATATCCGTCACAATTTCTTCATTTTAAAAAGTGTATGCTCAAATGAACTCGGGAATGTAAAGTAAAGCTTATGCTGAAATTTTTGAATGCATGAAGGTTGTCTGAGTAATTATTTAGAGAAAATTAAATAATTTTCAAGACATTTTTTCTATAAAAAAGATGTTTAAGGGCACAAAAGGTTTATATACCTGCAGTATGGAAACAGTACAACAATATGGCAGTTTTTACACTTTTTTCAACTTAATTCCGCTCTATACTTATCTATTCTCTTTGGTTCTGAAACATCTTAAAGGGAGTGTAATGTGAGCTTAAGTTTAAGTGACCCCTCCCTTTGAAAAGATGTCAATGCCTTATTCACAACGGTCCGGTACCCTTGTACCTTTATCTGATCAATAATGTGGAAGATATTATTGTTTATCTAGGGTTAAAAGTAGTTAATTCAGATAAATCATATTTGTCTTTTGCTTATGCTTTTGCAGAGAAACCACAATCAAAAATATTCACAAAAAGGATAAAAAGGATAAAAAGATAAAAAGAATAAAAGGATAAAAGGATAAAAAGGATAAAAAGAATAAAAAGGATAAAAAGGATAAAAAGGATAAAAAGAATAAAAAGGATAAAAAGGATAAAAAGGATAAAAAGAATAAAAAGGATAAAAAGGATAAAAAGAATAAAAATAACTGTTATTGCTTTTTTCACTGGAACCTTAACCTCATCAAAAATGCACAGTAATCTATTGGTTACAACTTTTCACGCATAAATCGATGAAAATTTTGCCAATTACTTAGCTAAAATTAAAACTAGAAATAAGTGCTTTACAGTTCTAAAATATGCATGTCTAGCTGTACAAAAGAGTATGAGTAAGTAAGTGTGACAAAATCAAAGGCCAACCCAATCAGGGAAATATATACAAATTTTATAGCAGTCTCTAGGTCCATGTGGAATTCTTTTTTCTATATTGAATAGTGTTTGAATCTGATATTTTTCCATTATTTTTGAAGAAAAAAATGCGCAAGTGGAAACTACAAATGAAAATAAACAAACATGGATATCTCATTCTTTCTTGATCAGATGAATCGGACTCAAACGTTATACCTTTAAACAAGGGAAAATATCTATATTTGCAATGCAGCCAAAAATGCGTTTTCATCTTAGAAAAATGGCGTTGTAAGAGCAGAAAATGTCCGTAAATAAAACATGCAAATCTTGAAGATGAGTGCTAGCAACGTCATATTTTGTATAATGTCAATTTTTCTCCATATAGTTGATAAGTATCATGGAATCAAGAAATTATTTTAAACTCCATTCACAGACAGGGTGTCCCAAGAAACATAAAATAGCTTAGAATGTCTTCTTCCATTATTTGTTAAGTTGTTTGACACCAAAGACAATAATAAAAATATTATATCGGAGTCATATTATGGTAAAATTAACTTCAAAGTAAAATAAATTTGAGCAAATGATTTGTTAAACGAAATAAATTGCAAACAGCCTTAAATATCTGATACATTGTATGGAAGATATAGTAAAATTAACTTCAAAGTAAAATAAATTTGAGCAAAAGATTCTTTAACCGAAATAAAGTGCAATTAAACAGCCTTTAGTATCTAATACAGTGTACGGAAGACGACCTTCAAAACTATTTACCAACTGTCATATTTCGTGTCTAATGTTCTATATAATTCGGTTCGTATTACATCAAACCATGTCTAGATCTAAAAAATATTTTCTTGAATAATTTTTTTTTTGTTTTGAAAGGATTGGGCGGCCCACTGCCTGGGATATCTAGTTTTATTTCCGAACATCAAGTTGCAGCAGCATTGGCTTTACAAGGTAATCTTAAAACTGTAGAATAGGAATTTTTTGTATTTGACGTAATTATAAAGCAAATAATTTACCGGTAGTCATGTAAAATCAACTTATCAAGTGAAATGGGTCTGTGAACACTGCACAATTTATTTGTTTCTTTGAAATCCTGAAATCTAACAACCGTCTTCCCATTCCACAGTTGTATGGGTCGCAATGTATATTGCTATTTTCTCAGACCTCTGATGTCTAAGTAATAGGCATCAAACAGAGTTCCCAACAAACGAGAAGATTGAACGGAATCTTTTCAATTTTTTTCCCTATATTCATATGGTTTCCTGCAGCTGTGATCTTTTTTCTTCTTTATTTATTTTTTCTTGTTTCTCCTTAAAAATCTAGTTCAAAGTCACAAAACCGAATTGAACCTTCATCTATGCTTTGCTTGTAAAGTCATCAACATTTAACAATCTATAAACCTGCTGAAAACTTGCAAGGATTATTATTTTATTCTTATTATTGTTCATGGGTTCAGTGTCAGCAGCTAAGATATGGAATTTAGAAACATATAATGAGCTAAATTTCCTAGCAACAAACCAGAAATATCAGACAGAATTCAAAGATTAGTGGTATTCTGAACCAATGAATAGATAAGAAAAATGAACGGACTCTTTCTAATACCAATTATTTTGAAAATATCAAAAATAAATGTTGGGATGTTGCGTCCCATTGGGTCTTTTGTGGGGTCATGGGATCCCCCTCCTCCCCCTCCCCCCCAGGGGAGGGTCAGGGAACCCAAGAATCCCAAAGTGGGAAAAATCGGAATACACTATTACTTTTAAAATAATACTGTACAAGTTTGTAATGATCTTTTGTAAAAACCTTCAAAAAAATTGTTAGAAAATATATACTTTGCTTGTCTGTCTGTTTGTTTTTCTGGGTGTCAGTTCATTTGCATCCAATAAACGACAACACGGCTGAACTGATCGGGCCCAAATTTTTTGTTGGAAGGTTTTTGGATGCTCAAAATTACAAAAATGTGTGTACAAAAGTTTTAATTTCGTTAAATTTTGAAATGCCTAAAAAAATAATGAGCCACACTTAAAAGAAGAAATAGAAGATGGGCACGAAGCGCCCAAAAAGCTTAGTTTATTTAAAGAGTTCAAGGTCGTCATTCAAGTCTCATCCTTTGTGCAGGCAACCTTAAAGATAAAGTATCTAAGTTAAATAATTAAACTATTAATTTATCATTAATTTGTTTTTGATTTTTGAAAAAAAAACTTTTTTAGCCCATATTATTTCCCGGGCACCCAGAATTATTTTATAGATTATTAACAGAAAATTGTCATAGGGATAGGAGCGGCTTGTATTTGTATGGGATCATTAGCTTATATGCTTGAATGCGCTACAAATTCTAAACTCTCAAATACCGAGCATACAAAGGTAAGTATGCAGTTATCCTTAGAAAATGTGGAATAGCAAGACGGCTTTTTAGATGTTGCTACATTACAAACAGTTTTGACAGTTGGTTTACAGTCAACTTTTCAAGGGAAATGAGCTTGTACTGTGCTCTTCACATTCACAATTGCTGTTTTTCATGTTTATTGGACTCTGTAAAATCATAACGAAAAGTATAAAAGTCGTCTTCCTATTCCACACTTTTTAGGATACCAATGTTAGGATTTATTAATATTTATTTATAGATGCAGGTATTTACTTAGAAATTGTTGAATTTTTATTGTCTAATCATTTTATTTTCAACATTACACTTTGACCATGAAATTTACCAAAATTATTACTGTTGTTTTTTTAATTTTTAATTTTGGGAATTGTGGCGGAGCTAAAGACGACCTTTGTCAGGCTCTAACCTAGCTTTGTCCACGTGATACTGTTTCGAGTCACTGGTTGTATTGAGTTATATTTCTCTGAATAAACAGTCTCGCCTTAGAATCAAATTAGGCTTTAATTTTAGTGCCGGTTGTGGCGCTTTTTTATATGTTTTTTTTTGTGGTATCTCACTTCACCCCATGCAAGGGGACGTCCAAGGAAAAATTGCTGTTACTGTCGTCTTCGTATATATCATTGCAATGAAGACGACTTTCTATTTCAATTTTGATTTCTTACAAAAGTCTTTTAAACAGCAGAGACACAACCATGTAAACAAAGAAAAGTCGTCAATTAACATTTGGAAAAAGGTGTTATTAATAATAATTCGCCTTTATTGTATTGGTATAATTGTTGACCACTGTATAAAAATATGCGAATTGAGAAATTTAGTTTTAAAATGCACAAAACCAAATTTTTTAAAAATATTTTTCAATGAAAACATTTTTATTTTGTCAGACAATGGTGAGTAGTTTATGGTTGATGTGCTGGTATATGAGTGGATCTCTGTGTACCTCTGCAGGAAGCAAGGCATACGATCTTCTTGGATTTGGATGGAGCTGTTTCTTAGAAGCTGTCATACTCTTTATACCGGTAGGTCACACGGTGGACTCGGGTCAATTTGAATTCGAACTGGACTGACCGGACCCTTTTGTAGTTGTTCCGGCCTTATAGTGACGCGGGGAAAGTACTGCCCTGCCCTTATCCTGTGTTGTCCCGGTTTCAACTTTGATAGCGGTACCAAACTTTTTACGGTAACCGGCCTATCATAGGCCTATTTTACCTATCCCACTAGCTTAGTCCAGTGTCGTCGGTCTTGGCATAGACTTGTCAAACTTCAGATTAGTAAAATTAAAGAATGGTAACATTTTGATAAATAACAAGGTTGTGGGAAAATATTGTGTGCAGCTGCTATAAAAATGAGGCAATAAAATGTTGCAGATATTTAGTTTTTTATTTAAATCATTATATGGAGATCATTAAAACTGTTCCCGCATATTTATGGCTATTTATTTATTGAAAAATTGTCAAGACGACATTTATTAAATTCTTTGGATGAATGGCTTAATTAGGGTTTAACTGCATGTAAAATTGCTGGACAAAGACAACATTCCAAAAGATCAAAACATGTTAAAAAAACATTGAAGAATTTCTTTTATTTTCTGCAAATTTTCTGCAATTTTAAGCAGAAAAGAAAGAACAAAAGTCATCGTTTTTTGAAACACATCGGTTTCGTTTTTGTTTTCAACCGTAAATTTTTTCTTCTCAAAATTGGCTCTTTCAGTCAGTTAACCCTAACCCAAGTGCGCTATTTTTGTATAATATAGATTGGGGATGGGGGGGGGGGTTCCACCCACCCTTAATTTCCCAATTTTTTTGCCCTTTGAGTTAAGAAAGGTGATGGTGATTCATGTCCTTATAGTTCAATTTTTCAAGGCCTGAATATTAGAAATAATTAGACCTCTAACTTTATGGTTAGGATGCAAGGGAGAATTAAGAAAAATTTGTTCACAACTATGAAGTTGAAAAAGTGAAGAAGTTTGAGCATTTAGAAAAACCACAAGGGGGGAGTGGAAAACAAGCCCCCCACCCACCAATCGTGATAGGGTTGAAGATTTAAAAATCAACTGTTTTAGCCATTTGTTAACGAACTTTTCCGGAAACTTTTAAAACATAAGTTTCGTTAACGGAACTTTGCCCAGCCCTATGACTGAACCTATTCATTTTTTTTGTAAATTGAAAACTAAATTCAATTACTATAAGTTGTCATGTATTTCCTCCATGTTGCCCGCAATTGTATATATTTTTTACTTTTTTGAAAAATGTTCATCTAAAAATTACAGTTTGATAATTGTAACTGTAAAATTGGTCTCTAGGTGTGTTGGATGTTTGGTAACGTTATATCCTCAAAACTTCAGGAAGAAAAAATATATTAAATATTAAATGAACCAATCACTTATATCAAACTACGGAGTCACCCAGAGATTTTGTAACTTGTGTGTAGAGTATTGTAAATCTTGCACCGCTTGACCTCGATATCCAATGGGGGCACTTTTAAATTTAAAGATGAATGCTTGATTCCCGAATCTCTGCAGGGTCTGACCGTCACGGAATGTTCGAGAGAAATTAAATTAATCTCTATATCTTTTCTCTTTCCTTCATTGTTAATTTATTAGTTATTATATACTAATTATGCATAGATATACAGGGTGTCCCACGAAACATGACAGTTGGTGAATTAGTTTAAGATGTCTTCTTCCATAATTTGTTGAGTTGTTTTATACCTAAGAAAATAATAAATATATTTTTTGGAAGTCATGTTATAGAATAATTGATTTCAAAGTAAAATATATTTAAACTAAAGATTTTTCTAACGAAATAAATTGAAAAAAGCCTTTAATATCTAATACAGTATAGGGAAGACGACATTCAGAACACTTTATCAACTGTCATGTTTCGTGGGACACCCTGTACCAGAATACAGGTAGCTTGTATCGTCTTCATCACACTGGAGGTTACCGTTGAAATTGAAAATGGCAATTTAGCTACAGTGAATTCCTTAATAACGAATACATCGGAAGAATTTATCAAATGTCGTCTTGACAATTTTTCAATGAGTTTTATACTATATTACGTAAATTTCAGTATTTGCGAAAATAAATAATTAGCCATTAATATGCGGAAACAGTTTAAAAGAGTTCCATATAATCATTTAATTAAAAACAAAATATCTGCAACATTCCATTATCAGAAAGTGAAGAATACGACATTTGATGAATTCTTTCGATGTATTCTTTATTAAGGGTTTCACTGTATGGTACTAGCTACTGACATACAGTACATTATATATAAAGGTTTGCGGCAAGTATATTTGTACTCTGTACAAATTTTATTGGGGTTTCTTTACAAATTTGCAAACTATACTTGAAAGTTGAATTCAAATGATGAGTTCCTGATGTACAAGGGGTTGTACAATTTTCAGCTTTACAGTCTGCATTACCGATCTATATTCTTGTATATCTATGTAATTATGGTTCTCTAAAGATGTAAATTTGCTTTTGCTTTGCAACCTTGACTATGGTTAAATTGATCAAGAAATGAACTATAAGTTTTAGGTTGTCACCAAAGGCTCATAATGTGTGGGAATCCCTGTATAGTAAATTTGCTTTGTTTTGCATGACAGGTTCAAGAAACGCGTTATTTTTTAGTTTTGACATTATAAACAGTCGTATTGAAAGTTTAGCAAGAATTTTGTCATGTTGAAGACGACTATTAATTTCTTCAAAGAACACAAATATTGCGGCAATAATATGACACATGCGCTTTTTATCGAAATATTTTTTTTCACTGCACACTGTATACAGGCTGATCAGGCGCGTAGTGGAGGGGGGGGGGTGGTATCCCTGTGCCCCCCTAGACATGCACCTCCCTAGAGGCAGAGGCAAGCTCTAATTTATTAAACAGTAAACTTACATATATATTCAGATTTTTTACTTTTCTTATCAATCGACAATGTCACAATTTGTCCATTTTATGATTATTTCTCAAATTCTTTCTTGTACCTTAATATTATTTACAATATTTTTTCGCGGGGGTTTTCATTTAAAATGATTGATAATTATGGCCAGATGACTAATAGTCAGCATTCAGGTAGATTAATATAGAATTTAAACTTTATTTTTTCTTAATACCGGTTTTTTAGGGGGTGCACATCAACCGTTAGGGGGGTGCACACAAAAAAGTGCACCCCCCTAGGCTAAACCTCCACAACGCGCCTGGGCCTGATCATTTCTAGCTTTTTCTCAACAACTTCAAATTTGGAGATTTTCTGGATTTTGAATCAGTCAGCATTTATTTTTTTGTAGATAGGGTTCTATAGCAATTAGATTGTTTGATATAAGATCCAAACATTGTACAATTATTATAATTTTATCCTTTCACTTTGATCAAATAATCAATGTCAACGCTTGTTTATTTTCAACTTTTAACAATTATTTGAGTCAATTTCGCGGATTTCTGCAATGATTTTTTAAATCAATCATAGGTGATATTTAAGTCGTTCTGTGCTTTTAGAACCCCACAGCTTTGGCTGAGGGTAATGAATCTTGTTATGAGGAAAAAATCCATTTTTGTTTAAAAATGTTGAAAATATATTGATGATGAGCAGAGTGTGGTTAATCAGACAATAACAACAGAAAGTGAAGATGAAGATGATAAAGATTTGAAAACTAAACTAATTCTACCAATTTAATTTAACACAATTCAAAATTTAATAAATTTATTTAATTTACAATATTTATTTCGTTAATATTATTTCAATTAAGTTGTCACTTATTAGTCAAAACATTTAGAAAAGTTAAAACATTTGAACAGCCTCAGACCTATACTTTTTGAGTTATCACAAAAAAAACTACGGGGGGGGGGGGGCCATAATGAAAAGAGTTAAGATTCCAGATCAATTCTATTTAACCATTATATATTTTGATCCGAAGACATGATGTGTACTTCTCATAACCCTGGGACAACATGATATTTATTTTGTTAAAAAATTACCAATACATGTAGGCTTTGTGTTATCTATCATTTTTAGAAATGATAGATCCGATTTTTTAAATTTTTTCGAAACATCTCGATATGGGTATCTACATTTTTGTTATATAATTTAGAGAACTTTTTTGTTTCACTGGTGTATTTTCTTTACAAAAAAGCATTATGCTCTGAAGGAATTCAAAAGTTAGATAAAAAATTCTCATTCTTTATTTACTTTTTTAATACAAAAACTTCAAAGACGCGTATTGAAAAATTTTGTCCAAAAAATGCCAAATATCACATTTTTAAGATATTAGAATCAATAGTGTAAAAAACGTTTCTTGTTCAATATTTGAAAATAATTAACACAATTCAACTTTTTAATTCAGTTAAAAAAGATAAGTTACTTCTTCTATAATTTCAAAAACTGTATGCTTTATTACACGTGACCCTCCATTTGTATAGCGTCATGTCTGATTCATTATGGTACCCTCAAAAGTTTTGTTTGTTCAAGAATGAATAAAATATCTATGTCTTTAACTTTTTAATCTGATCATTTAATTGGTTCAAAAGTTCTTGTCACCAATTAAGAGATTTAAAAGTCCTGAGCTGGGAACTTTAGAATGGTGGATATCGGGATTAATGCTTAATCCTCTGTTTTTGCTAATCTCAAGACTAACATAATCTCGAGATTATGTTAGTCTTGAGATTAAATATTTAGATCAACAAATCGGATTCTAAGAATGCCAGATTGGTTCGTTCTCTTGACTGAAAGGGCCCTCAGTTCATTTCTCACCCTTTTATTTATTAATACGTTAGTTAAAATTGGTTTAAAAAGAATCTCAAACCTGTTATTAAATATTTTTCTTCACCGATTAATTTATAAAATGGCCGACAACAAATTCTTTGATTGTTAGAAATTTCAAATTTCTCTCATGGGATAGAATTTATTTTCAAGGCTATCATTCATGGTCAATACAATTTAAGAAGTATATTCCCAAAGAGAATAGAATATATATAAGAGGGGAATTTAGAGAATCTCTCGGTATGAATTTGTTCAGTCCCTTTCAGCCTGAAAATTCCACGGGCATTGCTGATCACTTCAGCTAGTGACATCTATATTTTAAAATTTACATTTACAACATATTGAATAAACAAATATAATATTTTACATGGGTTCATTAGAGAAGAAGAAGATTTCAAATTTAATTAAACGGTTTAAAAGCTGAATTTAAAAGCTGGGAGCTAAGGAGAAGGTTTAGAGGCCGAGGAGAAGGTTTAGGAGCTAAGGAGAAGGTTTAGGGGCTGAGGAGAAGGATCTAGAGTTGAAAAGAAGATTATGAGCGGATGAGAAGGTTTAGAAGCTGATGAAAAGGTTTTGGAGCTGGTGAGAAAGTTTAGGAGCTGGTGAGAAAGTTTAGGAGCCTAGCTAGTGAAAAGGTTTAGGTGCTGAGTATAAGGGTTAGAAGCTACAGAGAAGGTCAAGGAGCTAATGAGAAGGTTTGGGAGCTGGTGAGAGGGTTTAGGAGCTGATAAAATTATTTGGGAGCTAGTGAGAAGGTTGAAGAGCTGATGAAAAGGATTGGCGCTGATGAGAAGGTTCAGGGGCTGATGAGAAGGTTTAGGAGCTGATGAGAAGGTTTAGGGGCTCCTGAGAAGGTTTAGGAGCTGAAGAGAAGGTTTAGGAACTGGTGAGAAGGTTCAGAGAATGATGAGAGGGTTTAGGAGCTGATGGAAATATTTGAGAGCCAGTGAGAAGGTTTAGGAGCTAATTAGAAGATTTGGCGCTGATGAGAAGATTTATGGGCTAATAAAAAAGGTTTTGGAGCTGATGAGATGGCTTAAAAACTGCTGATAAGCTTTAGGAGCTGCTGAGAAGGTTTAGAAGCTGATGAGAATGTTAAGGAGCTGATGAAAAGATTTAGGAGCTGAGGAGAATGATTAGGAGCTAAGGTAAAGGTTTTGCAGCCGAGGAGAAGGTTCAGAAGCTGATGAGAAGGTTTAGAAGCTGATGAAAAGGTTTAGGAGCTGATGAAAAGGTTTAGAAGCTGATGAGAAGGTTTAGGAGCAGAGGAGAAGGTTCAGAAGCTGAGGAGAAGGTTTAGGAGCTGATGAAAAGGTTTAGGAGCTGATGAAAAGGTTTAGAAGCTGATGAGAAGGTTTAGGAGCTGAGGAGAAAGTTCAGAAGTTGATGAGAAGGTTTAGGAGCTGATGAGAAGGCTTAGGAGCTGATTAGAAGGTTTAGGAGCTGATGAGAAGGCTTAGGAGCTAATCAACTGGGGGTTGGCTCTGCTAAGAACAATCCGCCACTTAACCTCTATAATCAGTTTATCTTATATTTAAAACGATTAAATTTGTTTTACATATTTAAAATTATTTTCTTTTATTCTATCATATTGCTCCGAGTACCTGAACATTTTGGCAGTTTGGTACAATCATACTCTCAGGTTCAACATCCAGGCTACATCGTTAGGTATCATTTATCATACATCATGTATCATGTATCATGTATCAAGTATCATGTATCATGTATCATGTATCAAGTATCATGTATCATGTATCAAGTATCATGTATCATGTATCAAGTATCAAGTATGATGTATGAGATATCATGGTATCATGTATCATGTACCATGTATCATGTATTATGTACTTTTTCCTTTGATCTTGACTTTAACTTTGACTTTGCTCTTGACTTACTTTTGATCTTGATATTGACTGAAATGTTGATTTTCACCTTGATCTTGACTTTAACGTTAACTTTGTAATCGATCTTGACTTTAATGTTGACTTTGATCTTAATCTTGACTTTATCTCTACTTTTGACCTTGGTCTTTACTTAAACCTTGACTTTGTCCTTGATTTTGACTTAAACCTTGACTTTGATCTTGACTTTAATCTTTACTTTGATCTTGAGTTTAATCTTTGCATTGATCTTGATTTTGACTTAATCTTGACAATGACCTTAATATTGTCTTTAATCAAGATTTCAGCTTTAACCTTCCCTTTGCATTTGAATGATATCTAAAAATGTTTCCTGTGTGTAAAGAGAGTTCTGTGTTTGATAGCATAAATGTAGAAATTCACTGGGAAACATCATTCATTAGTTTTCTTAAATTTGATTAAAAATAAATAGAGCTGAAAAACTTTAGAATTGTGGATATCTAGAATAATGCTTGATCGTCCTTTTTTGCTAATCTGCAGATTATTTTAATTATCATTTGATATCCGGTAAAGTGCATAAAACTAAACCAATCAGAGAGAGAGTCGTTTGTAGAAACAGCCAATCAGACGCCTGGAAATTTAGGTACAATCAATGAAGGAACTTTCCCGCACTCTCATTGGACGGAATCCAGTAGGGATATCCAAAAAATGAGGATTTAGCAGAATATCAAAAGTGTCCACAATGAATACAGAAAGTTAGCTATCGAGATATAGGGTATACAATTTTCAAGTTTTCAGCTCTGAACGGTTTATCAACATTGAATGATTGATTGATCTTTCCTTTTCTGAGGTTGTAATTTCTTTAATTTGACTTAGAACAATATAAAGTGATAGAGATTAAAGAGTAAAAACCTAATAAATTTTTTGACAATCTTATCTTGATATATTTTCCCAATTTTCCTCCATTTTTGGCACAAAAATAACAATGATTTTTTCTTTGGAGAAAAAACCCAAGCAATAGCGGTTGAACAAAATTTCGATAGTGGGTACACATCTCAGACTCTTTGCAGTTTAGAATTAAAAATAAAAAATTTATACAATTTTTTTAGTTTCAACCGCTGAAATTACAAATTTTTGTTTAATTACTTTACCTTTAATTCTGATTCCTTTAATTCCTTTATTTTACTTTTGATGCCATTCAGCGGTAAAAAGTAAACAATATTTATATTCCTTTATTACAGCAATCACAAATGTTCAAAGCAAACAAATATATATAAAAACGTGAAACCCAACGGTTGAGGCCAAAAATATTCACCTAAATATCATAATTTCAGATTTTTAATCAATTATTAAGTATGGGGGAAAAAGTACCATTTCTTATTCTAAACTATATTGTGGAGTCTTAACCAAATCTCAACCGCTCGTTCAACCACTCTTTCAACCATGCTCATTCAATGCCTCGTTCAACAGCTCGTTCAACCTCTTTCTCAACCACTTGTTTAATGGCTCACTCAACTACTCGTTCAACCGCTCTCTCAACCACTTGTTCAATGGCTCGCTCAACCACTCGTTCAACCGCTCTTTCAACCTCTTGTTCAATGGCTTGTTCAACAGCTTTTTCAACCGCTCTTTTAACCACTTGTTCAACCGCTCATTCAACCGCTCATTCAATTGCTCATTCAACCGCTCTTTCAACCGCTCTTTCAACCGCTCTTTCAACCGCTCTTTCAACCATTCGTTCAATGGCTTGTTCAACCGCTCATTCAACCACTCTTTCAACCACTCATTCAACCGCTTGTTCAACCGCTTACCACTGTGTTTTTTTTTCTCCAAAGTATAATTCCATTGCAAAAACAGATGGCACAAAGAGAACGCTTTGCTATTTCTTTCAAATATTTTTCAATTGATTGTTTTCTTCCAATTTGTAGATTTTTGCCAAATATGCTTATATAGAATCTGATTCAAGTGAGATGAAAACTAATGAATGATTCCTGAAGCATTGAACGTCATACAGAAATGAGATACCCCTGAGAATAAAAATTCTAAAAAGAAATTTCCAAAACTTAGAAAAACTTCTTTCATCCTTTTGAACAGTTTTAACAATAAAAAATTTGAATTTTTTCCTGAGAAATAGTTTAACCAAGAGGGCCATTCATCCTGCAAATAAAAATTGTTGATCATAAACATTTATCTATGAAATTCTCCCTGTTAAGGAATTGTTCAAAGATATTAGGTAACTTTGGCGCTGCCATTTATGAATAAGATAAGTCCAATTTATGAATAAGTTAAGTCTAATTTATGAATAAGATAAGTCTAATTTATCAATAAGATAAGTCCAATTTATGAATAAGATAAGTCTAATTAATTAAAATCATCTAAAGTTTGAATAATATCTCAAAAACAAAAGATATTTGCCATTTTTACTAAATGACTTTTTCCATTTCAGAAGATAATAAAAAATTTAAATACCGGAAACTTAAGTTAAAAAAGTATAAGTTATAGCAAATATTGTTACCTTTCTGCCTTTTCTGCTTTAAGGTACTATAAGGGTTGTTAATCGTTCTTGAAAACAATCGAAAAACTATTGTTTTTCGTTTCGTTTTCAAAAAATCGTTTTTGAAAACGACTTATTCGTTTTGAACATTTAGAAACCGAATAATGATCAAAATTGAAAATGACTGTTTTTACAAAAACGATAAGGGACCATTTTTTTAACGATTGTTTTTTAAAAACGATCGTTTTTTCAAAAACGATTGTTTTCAAAATTAAAATTCTAGAGATGTTGATTTTAAAACTTTGAAATATATTTTTTGCTATAAAAAAATAAGTAGGCAAAATTCTTGTGATTTTTTTCGTGAGATCTTGCTACCTAGATACACTAGAGCTTACAACCTAGATACACTAGAGCTTACAACCTAGATACACTAGAGCTTACAACCTAGATACACTAGAGCTTGCAACCTAGATACACTAGAGCTTGCAACCTAGATACACTAGAGCTTACAACCTAGATACACTAGAGCTTGTAACCTAGATACACTAGAGCTTACTATCTAGATACACTAGAGCTTGCAACCTAGATAATCTAGAGCTTGCAATCTAGATACACTCGAGCTTACAACCTAGATACACTAGAGCTTGCAACCTAGATACTCTAGAGCTTGCTACCTAGATACACTAGAGCTTGCAACCTAGATACACTAGAGCTAGTTACCTAAATACACTAGAGCTTACAACCTAGATACACTAGAGCTTGCAACCTAGGTACACAAGACCTTGCAACGTAGATACACTAGAGCTTGCAACCTAGATACACTAGAGCTAATAACCTAGATACACTAGAGCGTACAACCTAGATACACTAGAGCTTACAACCTAGATACACTAGAGTTTGCAACCTAGATACACATCAGCTTGCAACCTAGATACACTAGAGCTTGCAACCTAGATACACTAGAGCTTGCAACCTAGATACACTAGAGCTTACAACCTAGATACTCTAGATCTTACAACCTAGATACACTAGAGCTTACAACCTAGATACACTAGAGCCTGCAACGTAGATACTCTAGAGCTTACAACCTAGATACACTGAGCTTACAACCTAGATTCACTAAAGCTTGCAACCTAGATACACTAGAGCTTGATACCTAGATACACTAGAGCTTGCAACGTAGATACACTAGAGCTTACAACCTAGCTACACTAGAGCTTGCAACCTAGCTACACTAGAGCTTGCAACCTAGATACACTAGAGCTTGCTACCTAGATACACTAGAGCTTGCAACCTAGATACACTAAAGCTTGCAACCTAGATACACTAAAGCTTGCAATCTAGATACATTAGAGCTTACAACCTAGATACACTAGAGCTTGCAACCTTTAGATCACCTTAAAGAGAAAAATATATATATATAAAACATATCTCTGACAAACTATTTAGAAGGAGCAGAAAAGAGTAATTACTTCAAATCATTTTTAAATTAAAAATGATTTAAAGTTTTTTTGAAAGATTATATATATTTTATAATACCTCCTCTGCATTGTAGAGCTCAAATATATTAGGAATCCAACGAATACTGTGACATATAATGAATACTAAAAAATATATTAATTAATATTTCTTCACAGGAAATTAAAATGTATTATTTTTCAAAAAGTCTCTGGTTTTTGTGCAACATTAAACTGAGATTTGAGATTTTCAAAGATTGATGTTATTTTTTACATATCTCTAAAAAAATAAACTAAATTCCGTTCCGTTTTAAGCCCGTTTTGGGTCTGCAGTATGACAAGAAACACATGTTTTTTTGTGTTGGTGTTTCAGACATTTTGTCCACGCCTCGTGACGGTTTTCAATAAAATCTCTTATTTCTGTATTTCACCTTTTTATTGAGGAATCGTAGTCCAGGTTTTAAAAATTATCTTTTTTAAATCGATTTGTTTAGACTTTTCTAATTATCCACCAATTTATATCTTTACGGTAAGATGTACTTCATTGGGTTTTAAATCCCAAAAATGGGGGTTTATAAGTTTTTAGAAATAGATGTATAGTTTAGCTTAAAGGAACTGTGAGCGTTATTTCAATATTTATCATCATATCCTGGTTTCCTGTAATACAAAAGTGATATGCGCATTTCTACTGCAGGCAAACATGGGAATTGTTATTAATCAGATTAAGGTACCGTTGCCATCTTGGAGTCAATTGAAATAAAGTTTACGTTTTACAGTTTAATTAAACAAATATACACTTTACAGTCCCTTTAAGTAAACAAATATACACTTTACAGTCCCTTTAATTAAACAAATATACACTTTACAGTCCCTTTAATTAAACAAATATACACTTTACAGTCCCTTTAAGTAAACAAATATATACTTTACAGTCCCTTTATGTAAACAAATATACACTTTACAGTCCCTTTAAGTAAACAAATATACAATTTACAGTCCCTTTAAGTAAACAAATATATACTTAACTGTCCCTTTAAGTAAACAAATATACACTTTACAGTCCCTTTAAGTAAACAAATATATACTTTACAGTCCCTTTAAATAAACAAATATACACTTTACAGTCCCTTTAAGTAAATAAATATACACTGTACAGTCCCTTTAAGTAAACAAATATACACTTTACAGTCCCTTTAAGCAAACAAATATACACTTTACAGTCCCTTTAATTAAACAAATTTACTTTACAGTCCCTTTAAGTAAACAAATATACAGTCCCTTTAAGTAAACTTAAATATACACTTTACAGTCCCTTTAAGCAAACAAATATACACTTTACAGTCCCTTTAATTGAACAAATTTACTTTACAGTCCCTTTTATTAAACAAATATACACTTTACAGTCCCTTTAATTAAACAAATATACAAGTAAAAAAGTTTTACCAAGAACAATTAGAAGAGAAACCTGGCTCAACCTAAATATAAAAAAATTTAAAATATAAAAAAAAGTTGAAATCACTGTTAAGTTCATTTGAAGTACCTTATCAATCACAGGGCATCTAGATGAAATAGTGTACTACAGACTGAGAGTAAGGAATAGAAGGGAGATATAACTGGCGCGGTTCTTCCCTACCATATGATTATACATGCTTTGCAGACGGTACTCCATTTGTATAAGAAATATTTGTCTGATGTACAATAACCGCGCATACAATAACCTATTCTGAATATTTCTTATACAAATGGAGTACCCGTCTGCAAAGCACGCATATTCATATGGTCAGTTATATCTCACTTATTTTCCTTACTCCCTGACTACAGAGCACAAAACTTATGAAACCCGGGATCGGAATTGGATACAGCAATTTTGTAGATTTTAATATAAACGAAATATTATTTTATATGCTTAGCTTTATATTCTCTCTTTATTTTTTAATTCTTGATGTAAATCTACACACACCCCAAAAACAAAACTCGACGATACTCTTTTAAATTTCCGATTCCGACATTTTATAAGAAAACCGGATCATCCTCTTAGGTGAGATTGATGTGGAAAAATGGTGTTAACAAAAATTACATTAAAAAAATCGATTCGACAAGAAAGCTATTGAAAAAAACGACTAGGCTGGCACCATGTCACGGGCAGCCGTAGAACATTTGAATTTCCGAGCCGGGTCAACCTTTCCGGTCCCTGTTTGTACTTTGTAGTGTACCTAGCTCTATGGACAGGACTAGCCGGTGCAACAAAGTTGACGCAGTCAGACTTTATGCTTCATATAGGCTTAATTTACTTTTACTAAAGGGGCAGATTTGCGTGATGTACACCACATAGGTTAGTATTGGGTTTTCAATTGTTCTAAAGACAGATGTCGCTGAAAAAATGTCTTTGAAGGAAATATATTGAAAAGAATAAAATAAAATAAATAAAAGGATAAAATAGAAAACAATTTCTAACAACAGAGGAAATAAATCTTTGCCAAAGACCTGAAAAGGTCGAAAACATTATTTAAATTATTTGAATTATTTGAATTCTAAGAATTATTTGAATTATTTGAAATATTTGAATTCTAAGAATTATTTGAATTATTTGAATCATTTGAATTCTAAGAATTATTTGAATTCTAAGAATTATTTGAATTATTTGAATTATTTTAATTATTTGAATTATTTAAATTATTTGAATTATTTGAACTATTTGAATTATTTGAATTATTTGGAAAAACGTTGTGGATAAGGTTTAAAGTAAGCAAGTTGAGAATTTCAAATTAGGTCAAAATTCCAAATATAAAAACAAACAAAAAAGATTTTTTTTAGTTTTTCGATTAAATTTTGTAATGTCCTGGTTTTTGTTTTAAAAGCCTGAAGATTCTGAATGTTTAAAAAACGGATAATAACGATGCCCTGCTCACTATAGTTTCAGTAGAAATATATATTTCCATTTACTGATAGCGCCGATTGAAGGATTCATAACTCTGATTGGATAATGAGATAGATAGAAAGATAGATGTTACCGCCATACTATTTTTATTGGTTCAGAATAGACAACAAACACAGGACTACACCCTGATTGGATCAGGCGCGCCTAATGGACTGATATATAAATGATATTAGTGCTGATATATAAATGATATTAGTGCTGATATATAAATGATATTAGTGCTGATATATAAATGATATTAGTGCTGATATATAAATGATATCAGTGCTGATATATAAATGATATTAGAATTTATCCTAAACAAAAGAATTTGACTACTCGGGGATTTATAAAAAAAAATGTTAATATTCCTGATCTCTCGTTGATGAATAAAATTCCTTCTCTCATCCTCACAACACTGGTTCATCCGCCACATCTGAATTATTTCTCTTATAAATACTAAATGCATTGAAGAGTTCCGAGAAACAAAAAATTCCACAGATAAACAATTTTAGCCAGAAAGGTAGTTGAACTAGTTTTACTTAGTTCAGCTAGTTTCTATCTCTCTTAAAGGGACTGTAAACGTTTTTAAAAAACGAGCGGAATGTCCGATTTACAATGGAACCCTATAAACCTCTAACTAATTAACCACGATGAAGTCACGTTTGTCTAATTGAAACCTGTCGAATACTATTAATTTCCTTTAATGTTACTGTGTAACAATCGCTTTAAAAGAGAAACCACAATACAAAAATATTCATTTCAGAAAGAATAAAAGGATATTTCATTCAGATTAAAGTTTAAAGGATACCTTTGTGCATCGAATATGCCAATATCTATAAATGGAAATAGGTTACAGTTCCTTAAACATTGTTAATAAATACGTTACAGTTCCTTAAACATCGTTAATAAATACGATACAGTTCCTTAAACACCGTTAATAAATACGATACAGTTCCTTTAACATCGTTAATAAATACGTTACAGTTCATTAAACATCGTTCATAAATTCGTTACAGTTCCTTAAACATCGTTCATAAATACATTACAGTTCCTTAAACATCGTTCATTAATACGTTACAGTTCCTTAAACATCGTTCATAGATACGTTACAGTTCATTAAACATCGTTCATAAATACATTATAGTTCCTTAAACATTGTTCATGAATACCTTATAGTTCCTTAAATATCGTTCATAAATACGTTACAGTTCCTTAAACATCATTCATAAATACGTTACAGTTACTTAAACATTGTTGATAAATACGTTACAGTTCCTGAAACATTGTTGATAAATACGTTACAGTTTCTTAAACATCGTTCATAAATATGTTACAGTTCATTAAACATCGTTCATAAATACGTTACAGTTCTTAAACATTGTTCATAAATACATTACAGTTCATTTAACAATGTTGATAGATACGTTACAGTTCCTTAAATATCGTTCATAAATATGTTACAGTTCATTAAACATCGTTCATAAAAACGTTACAGTTCCTTAAACATCGTTCATAAATTGCGGATTTTATACTTATTTATGCCCAAGGTTTTAATGCAAGGAAAGTTAACTGCAGTTGCGTATACTCTGCGTACATATTGAAACCAGTTCTCTCTGGGCGGAATTTGTAAACAAGAATAGATACATCAGTGTTCGTTAAGTATCCGAGGAGGTTAAAAGCATCAAATTTTGATAAGTCACATAATAGTTTCCTCTTAATAGAATATTTCATTGATTTTTTATGTGAAAGATGGATCCCATGTCAGGCTTACATTATCACCCATTGACAGTACAATGCAGTACAAAAGATGCATACACCTCTGAAATAACTTTCCTTGCATTAACCTAGTTTATAAATATACTTATATATATGCCTTTACTTATATATACAGTATATATAAGTATAGATATATATATATGTATATATACACATATATAATTTTATTTATAAATATATATACTAAATTTACCTGTTTATAAACAGCTGTATTGAGAATGACTATAAAAGTACAACAAATTATATTATTCATGGGCAGCCGTTGTACATTTGAATTTCCGAGCCGGGTCAACCTTTCCGGACCCAGTTTGTACTGAACCTAGCTCTATGTACAGGACTAACCAGTGACACAAGGTTGACGCGGTCAGACTTTATGCTTCATATAGGTTAAATTGACTTTTACTAAAGGGGCAGAGCTGCATGTATTATACGATGACCAGTTAGAAATAAAATGAATCTTCTCAAAAAATGTTATGTGAGCTTTTTACATTGAAACATAACAAACATTTTACTTTTTCATTTATAAATCAAATTATTTTTTCAAATGATTGGTAAAAATAATTTTTTTTCATTTAAAAATGTTTTTGTTGTACATTCCTAGACATATGAGGGGAATGACTCCATGAATGAAGAGGTTTAGGTAGATAAGATAAACCTAAATATAATTGTTTATGTGCATTGGACTATACCGTACATGAGGTAATGTACAGTTGATACTAGATTTGTTCTTGAAAAAGTGTTGGGTCAACTACATACTTGGTATACTAGACAGGCTGGTACGAAAAAAGACTTTACTGGCATCCTTGCATCGGCTCGGATTGGGGTGTGGACGGGGAGTTAGAAATAGAAGGGAGATATAACTGACGCGGTTAAGAAATATTTGTCAGATGTATTTACTGCGTATACAATAACTTTTTCTGAATATTTCTTATTCAAATGAATTACCCGTCTGCAAAGCATGTATAATCATATGGTAGGGCGAACCGCGTCAGTTATATCTCCCTTCTATTCTTTACTCCCTGGGTGTGCACAATTGACGTTACGGTACACAAGTTATGTACATATTTACCTTGATATAGGTTGGGTTATGGTACATAAGTTATGTACATATTTACCTTGATATAGGTTGGGTTACGGTACATAAGTTATATACATATTTACCTTGATATAGGTTGGGTTACGGTACACAAGTTATGTACATATTTACCTTGATATAGGTTGGGTTACGGTACATAAGTTATGCACATATTTACCTTGATATAGGTTGGGTTACGGTACATAAGTTATGTACATATTTACCTTGATATAGGTTGGGTTACGGTACATAAGTTATGTACATATTTACCTTGATATAGGTTGGGTTGATTCTTAAATCAGTTGGAACTATTCTCACAGTCTGAAAAATTTAATGTCAGGTTTTTTTGAAACATTTTTTCTATATTTAGAGACAATTCTCGATTTACAAAAGTATTCTTTTAAGCCTTTTCCGATTATAAAATCAGCGATAATACTTTTTGTTTAGATTTCATAGTATTTCTATATATAAATAAACTTGTAATCTCTGCTTGTCTGTCTTATTAAATTGTCATTATTAAATATCGAAAACAAAGACGACCTTTAACTTTATTTCCAAGTTTTTTTTTACCACCCTGTGCAGTGTGTATACATGTAACCGCTTCAGGCCTACAGTAAGCATTCAATAGAAGAGAGAAAGACATCAAAACTAAACTTATTTCATTTCTAGCTTTTGTTCTCTCCTCCAATCAACAATATTTGATAAAAGGGAAAACTCAAGCTTTTATCTTGTTTTCCAACTATATATGCTTAGGATTTACCACCAGCTCAACCTAGGTTAGATTAATTAGATCAATCTTTAGTTATTTTAAATAGATAGATATATTGTAGGTATCTAGGAAGATAGAACAAGATAAAGAAAAATATAGATAAATAGAGAAAGATTTAGAAAGATAGAGAAAGATAGATAAAGTTGGAGAAAGAAAGAGAAAGATTGAGAAAGGTAGAGAAAGATAGATAAAGATAGATAGAGATAGAGAAAGATAAAGAAAGATGGGGAAAGATATAGAAAGATAGAGAAAGATAGAGAACGATAGAGATAGATAGAGAAAGATAGAGAAAGATAGAGATAGATAGAGAAAGATAGAGAAAGATAGAGATAGATAGAGAAAGATAGAGAGAGATAGAGAAAGATAGTGAAGATAGGGAAAGATGGAGACAGAAAGAGAAAAATAGAGAAAGATATAAAGAAAGAAAGAGAAAGATAGAGAAAGATATAAGGAAAGATAGAGAAAGATAGAGAAAGATAGAGAAAGATAGAGAAAGAAAGAGAAAGATAGAGAAAGATAGAGAAAGATAGAGAAAGATAAAGAAAATTAGAAGTCAGAGAAAAATAGAGATTGGGATCTGAAAGGTTGAATACAAAGAAAGTCTGCGAAAAATAAATTGGAATCCAGGAATCAATCTGGTTCCGTAATTAAACACGAGAATATCTACATTACTCACATCCGACCTGGAAACTTTTGAAAATACATAATCTAAGGACAATACTGTTGCACCGTTAAGGGAGTGTTCATATTCATATTTCATATTTTTATTCAACTACAAAGCACGAGATAATACAAATAAAAAAATCACAATTTACTATGTAGTTTGGACCCGCCTAACCAGAGTAGGTTGTTTTAATTGGTGTTCGCGAAAAATGATTGTCGAATTCAATTCGGGGCATTCCTTTGTAGTTTAAATATCATATTTTTTTGAAATTTTTGTTTTAGACAATGTATTTTGGAGGACGATAAGTTGGCCACTAGGTGTCTCTGCTCTTGATATTTTAGGGATTTCACCAATGCACTTTATCAAAAATTGTTTGATAATATCAAAAGAAACTCTCCCAAACACAAATTTGGTAATCAATATATCTTTGCAACCCATGGTGTAGACTTATACTAATGTTCTAATAGAGTTAAAAGTTTGAAAGAAAAAAAACGGTTGGAAAATGTTAACAATAAAATTATTTTTTTAAAATAATTAAATTTTTAGACTCAAGTTTTGTCTTCAAACAGTCCAGTGAACTGAGATAAAGGAGTGTGGACTATATAAAACTTCAAACAAGTAAAATTTTACCATTTTAAATTTACCTGGTTGCTCATTTGCCCCGTTCCATTCTGGAAATTCTCGACAATGTCGTCGTTTTCTTTGGAAAATTAGAATTTTCTATGTTGACGATCGGAAAATATTTAAATAATGATTTTACAGTTTAACTAACAACTGCCAAGGCATCGAATGTCGTCTTGCCAATTTTTCAAGGGGGTTTATACTATTGTACTTAAATCTCAGTAATTGTAAAAGTAAACAAATATGCTGGACATATGCGGGAACATTTTTAAAAATCCCAGTCTAATTATTCAATTAAAAAACTAATCGTCTGCAGCATTCCCATTTAAGTTGGGTTAGAAGACGACATTTTATAATTTCTTTTGATGTCTTCGAAAATCTGGGCTAAACTGTATAAAAATGTATTTTTAAATCATGAAACAGTTTGTAAATCAAGTATTTAGTAATCACAAGAGTTTTTGTAGATTTATAAGAATAAGTTCGTACCCTTGGTTTGAGAATCGAGGATGAAGGACACTTGAAATTTCCCTTTAAACTTTGTCTCCTTATTCCAATGTATTTCGTATGTAAAAGCAGACTCTTGAAAAAGTTAAGATAAAGTTTACATATTTTCAAATAGTTGTAAAAGTTTAAGCTTAACTTGAATTTCCATTGTGTATGCAAATGTAGGCGGAAACCTTGAAATATAAAACCCAAATCTAGATAAAACAATTATTTATTCTGGAAAATTTGGTTTTCTTTAGAGAAACCAGAATTTAAATATTATGTTAATGAATGTTCATCCATAAAGTTCAAAGAGAATACTTTGTGTTTTACATATCAAAGCTTGACACACGGGTTGATTTTAATTCAACAGAAAAGGATCAGACGTGATCTGGAATCTTTGAAAATTCATCCAGTGAGATGTAATCAAAGAGAATAGAATATACATTAGAGGAGAATTTAGGCAATCCCTCGGTATGAATTTTGTCAGTCCCTTTCAGCCTGAAAGGGAGTTCAAAGTGTACAAATCATGTAAATGCTCACAAATTATATGCTGTAGAGTACATTAATACATGCACTATGTTCCCTAGACTATCCATTTCAATTTCGAATTTTTTAAAGCTGTTAAATGAACTTTATAAAATGAATTATTATAAAAACATTATTTGATTTATAGTTATCACGGAAAATCATCGTTTGTAAAGTGAAAGGCATAGAGTCTATGTGAAATGATCATTGGTCAATTATGAAACCAGCCTATTTCATAATTTGGTTTTCTTTTAATATTTATTTTAGATTTTCTATAAAATAATGTTCCAGGGCCCAAAAGGTTATATAGCACAAATATGTGAAGTACACCTGCAGTATGGAAACAGTTCAACAAAATGGCCGTTTTACACTTTTTTCTAGTAAATTCCAATCTAATATATATTCTATTCTCTTTGGATGTAATCCAGTAAAATTTATTCAAACAATAATAATAAACTAAAATGTGCTTTCCTATATCTTTGCAATTTGATGGTGTAAACCTTTGATCTTAGAATATTTGATCTAACAGAATTCATGGCAAACAAAGCGATTGAAAAATTGTTGTACTTTCTTCCTTCATTTTCATTCTTTGAAATTCAAATTCTATTGAATCCAAAGAGAATAGAATATTTATTAGAGTGGAATTTACTAGAAATATATATATATTTTATTCTCTTTGATTGAATCCCTTTATTTTCTCAACAGAAGTAACACTTATAAATTCATCAACATTCCCTATATATATAATTTGCTTGTCTGTTTGTTAGTCTGTTTGTTTGTATTCAATAAACGTCAAAACTGCTGAACCCATCCGGTCCAAACTTTTTGTGGTACCTAACATGAAGGTTTCCAAATTATCAAAATTAAGCAAATTTTCCTCCAAAAAAAGTATCGATTTCCAATAAATTTTCAAAATGCAAGATATTTTTAAATGAAATCCGCGAACTTTTGTTTGTTTTTGTTTAACAATGTATACAAAGAGAAAATGTTCACAATTGAAATAGAAGTTGGGCGCGAAGAGCGCTAAAAGCCTATGTTAATATATAGACTTTGTTGGTTTGTAACCGATAAACGTTAAAACGGCTGAACCGATCAGGCCCAAATTTGTTGTGGAACCTCGCATGATCCCAGGGAAGGTTACTGAATGGTGAGAATGTAAAAAATGTCTGATTTTTCAAAATCCATGAAAAAAAATGGATAAAAGAGCAAGAATTAACATATGAGAATGAAAGACTAGCACTGAATAAAAATAAGCTTGGTAAACTCGGTTGTTTCATCTAATTGATCTCTTCTCAAAGTTTTCCCTCGCAATTTATAAGATTGATGTGATTTCTTTTGGATTGCCTAATACTTTTCTAAGCAAAGTTTGTAATTTAAAATGTTTTTAACCGCATTGTATGTTGTTTTATTGATTTAGTGGTTAATCCATGGACACCAAAGATGGCAATGCCACTCTGGGCCGTAGTAAATTTGAATTCGAACAGGACCTGCCCAGTTTGTACTAGCCTGCCAGATAACAGCGTGTACTGGCCCGATCCCATGGTACAGTACGTCGCCCTAACCAGACTAACATACGACAGGGGTCAATTTTCTTGGCATTGTCCCGTCGGAGGGCTAACTATGACAACTCCCATGGCGCGTTCAGACTTTTTACAGTACCCGGCCTAATCCTATGCCTATCTGACCGACCCCACAGGCTTAGTCCACCGTGATGCCCGATTCACAACCTTAAAAAGTTGATCACAATTAAGAATTAAGCATTCATGTTAAAATTTCAAACAATTATTATTTTCAATTGCGGGTTCTCTACAAAATTGACATGCGCATTTCTAATAAATTTATTCTTAATTTGAAGATTAATTGAAGATTTTTATCAGCAGAACCAATTTGTTTTAATTCTAACACATGCTATGTTTGCAAAAGAATGAAAGAAAGAAAAGACTAAAAAGATTAAAAAGAGTAAAAGCTATGATCAAACATAATATGTAAAAAATCGATCCTTAAAAATGCCCGTTTTGTGTATAACCTATTTCTTTTTCACAACCCCCCTAAGCTTTTTTATTAAACATTATAACATTAAGAAAAAATCTAAATTTGTATTGCCGAAAAATACTAACAATCCACCACTAGTTATGTTAAATGTAATGAAAACAATAAATTTTTAATTTACTTTTTTTCAAATGAGGGGAAATATTCCCACAACCTTTAATTTTAAAGGTTTTTAAACAGTTTTTCCTAAAACCTTTAATTTTGTATGTTATTGTTATATTTCATAAATAAATAATTACTTATTTATTACTTTTATTGAATAGATTAAGGTTTCAAGGGTTCCATTGTGAATCATTCTATTTGACTTTAAGCACTCTATTTTTTCTTCTTTAAGTAAACCTGTTTTTTCTGACGGACAATATGGCGAATATCACCCGTTAAATTCTGACAAAACACAGGAGTAAAAAAGCCAGTGTTAAAGCCATTCCGATGTATTTTTTAGTGTCAATTATTTAGAAAATAAATATTCTGTTTTCTAAGTTTCTAATGTTCCTGATGTAAGATGTAGAGATGAATTGTAGAATCCAGGAACCAGTTCTGTACAGTTGTACAGCTCCTCTGTACATAGATCATAGCTATGTACAGATAGAGTCCCGTTGTTTTCATCTATTGTACTGGCATTGTGTGCCAGGGTTGTGTTTACAATGTTTACTTTCGTGACCCTGGGCATTCGGGAGTCCATTTTAATAATGGAGACAATTTCAATTTAAAGGGAGTGTTTCTAAAAAATAAAAGATGGTATTAGTAGAGAGAAGTCGCTGAGCTGAATATGATTAGTTAAACTATTACTCTTGTACACTCCTGGACACACTAAAGAAATAGTTCAACTATTCCTACCTAATTCAACGAAACCTTTTTTTTTTAAATTGAGAGTCCATGTGTTTAACTTTGAATATGTTTTTCCAAATACATCTTGAAAAAAAGTAGAATTTTTTAAGTAATCAAAAAATATTCAAGATGGTAATGAGATACTTAACTGCAAAGTTACATAAAACATTTTATGTAATTTTGAAACTTTTTTGCTGAATAGACTCGTTCCTGAGTTCGAAGAATTTAGGAATGTTGAAAAGAATTGAGAAAATGAGGATTGGAAGAATATAAAGTTTAGCAGACCATCCGTGATAAAACTAAAATAAGAAAATTATATTTTTTAAAAACATTTTTTCGACCAACTGGTTGCGGGACCAATTTTAATGAATTCAAGGGATCTACAGTTAACCCCTAAATAAGCCATACATCGAAAGAATTCATTAAATGTTGTATTCTTCACTTTCTGATAATGGAATGTTGCAGATATTTAGTTTTATAATTAAATGATTATATGGAGCTCTTTAAAACTGTTCCCACATGTTCATGGCTATTTATTTAATTTCACAAATACTGAAATTTACGTAAAATAGTATAATACCCATTGAAAAATTGTCAAGACGGCATTTGATAAATTCTTCCGATGTATGGCTCATTTAGGGATAATGGTATAGGCTAAATCTGAATTATTTTAGGGTATTCTCAACATTTAGCGTTTTTATCCATTTCTTTATTATAGACGCTATATAATACCTTACTCTTCTTAGAGGCGGCAATTCTACTCTTTCAAAGTTTTATAAAACACCCAATTTTGTCTTAATATTAAAAATTTGTGCACATTTGAATATTTTAACTTTTATTTTTGGCCATTTGAAATATTTTATAATTAATTTTCTTTTAGTTAATGATTTATGAAATACACAAGGAAATCAAATGTTCAACACAAATTAATTGTGAATTTTTTCGTTAATTTTTCTCGAGAAACTCTCAGCGGTTTTTTAAACAATCAACTGAGAGTTAAATCATGTAAACAAAAGTTACAATGTGACTTGCTAAGGTTTTTGTCACTGGCTCTGAATGTGCATATCTGCAGAATAGTCATATACAATATTTTAGATGTATGGGGGTTGATTGCCAAAAAAACTTCTAGAAAAAATTTAAGTCCTATATAAATATAAATTAAATTAGTTTTTCGCGAACACTCTTTTTATTATAATTTGAAAACGAAATTAATTATTTTGAAATCAGATTTTTAAAGCAAAATTTAAATATTGTTTGAAACATAAAAAAAAAGTTAATTCTTTAAACTATGGTTCATTTTTGAGAAATCTGCTGTTAAAGGGACTGTTGGCTGTATTAAAGAGTGCAGATGTCCAATTCACTATGGAATTGTTAAAAATGTGGAAGACATAGTTGTTTTCCTATCTTGAAAAGTGTTAGATTGTGGAAATTTCCCTTAATTTTCCAGTGAGTGTAAATCCGCATCTCCTTTAAGCTAAGAAGAGAGGATGCCCTCTGCAGTGCAGAATTATGCAATTATGTTATAAAAAGAATATTCTCTGCCACCAATGCAGTATATACAATGCATATAATTACACTGCAGAGAGAATGTAAATTCTTAATATGAAACAATTCCAATTTAATTGGAACATTAAGTGTTAACTTATTTTTATATGTTAAATTTACTCTTGGAAAAATTAACATTGTAAATTTATGCCCTCGAGGGATTTAATGAAAATCACGCGTGTATGTGTCAGTGTAGCCATAAGTTTTTCCATTGAATCCTCAGTGGGTTTAAATGAATTGAGTCTATGCCACACACTCGAATATTCTAATCATTTTATCTTTGCAACCCGATAATATAAACCTTTGATAATTCAATCATAGAATAATAAAATATTTATTGCGAACCAAAAAATCAGTTTTTATAACGGAATGATTATTATCAATAGAAAACCCTGCAGTAACCGGTCCACAGGTTTATTTTTTCAAATTATGTTTTCCGACTAAATGCTTTTAGGTATCAAATGCAATATAAAAGGGAAAATTTCTATTCTGGTAGAAAAAAACCTTTTGCAATAAAGTTTTAGAAATTAACCGCCAATGATTCCGAGATTTGTCTAGATTTCATTGTGACGTTGCAATGAACTGAATTCAATGAAAAAATAATTATTTTTTTAATCAGATCAAGAAAAGTAAAAACATATATTTTTGCAATAACGAAGAATGTAAAGAAACCTGCATGCTTTTATCATTTTGCAAAAAAATAAATCGAGAATTAGCGAAGAAATTAATTCACTTTTAAGAAGTTTTAAGCAAATTCAAATATATATTTTTTAATTAAAAGATGTATATTTTATACTTATAGTTGATATAAACTTTGACATCATAACGTCTTATCATAAACTTTTATCGAACCATAATAATTTTCAAGATTAATAACATATTTTAAGGAACTGAATTTTGCCGCAAACTCTAATCTAATATCTTTTCTAATCTTTATATCTTTGCAACCAAATGTAGAAGACCTTTGATATTTCAAACTATGAATTCAAATAATAAAAATTTGAAATATTACAAGTTTATACACTATAAGGCTACAAAAATATGAGGATTAGAAAATGTGAGTTTGTGGCAAAAACTGAGTTTCTTCATCGTTATCTACTCATGGAAAACTGAGTTTCTTCAATGTTATCTACCCATGGAAAACTGAGTTTCTTCAATGTTATCTACATCATGGAAAACTGAGTTTCTTCAATGTTATCTACTCATGGAAAACTGAGTTTCTTCAATGTTATCTAATCATGGAAAAACTATTTCATCCATGTAACAATGCCTCATTAAAACTTTATGTGTTCAACTTATTTTCTAATCTTGAAATAAAAGTAGTTAGATTTAATGAGCGAATCATCCTTGAGGCTCTCTGCACAAATTATAGAATTTTAAGAATTTTAAGTTTTTACTCAAAAAGTAAAATGAAAAATTACTGAAAAAAAACACCAAAGGAATTGAACCTTTGCCACAAACACAAATCAAACCCCAAATAGCCTTGCAACCTGATTGCGTAAACCTTTTATATTTTAAACTTTGATTATTTGACCTAATAAGATTTATAGTATGAAATATCAAATGTCTCCGACATTGGTTTAGAAAATCAGAGTTTGTGACAAAGACTCAATTTCTTTTGCAAAAATCTAAGTTTACATCCAAAGATTAGAAAAAAACTTGTTTTGTTGAATTTAAGGATTTTAAATGTGTTTTAAAAAATTGTGAAAATCTAACTTTACTTAATGAAATTTGGTGTAACTTGTATGTGAAAAAATACAATCTTAAGAAATACACCCAACTACAAAGAAGAAATTCTTTGATTTTTCTTTCATATTTAAGTTTCGCGGGTTTCAGTAAAAATGAATGAAAACTGGAGATAACAACCTTTCTTGGAGCTGGCAAATCAGGTTTGTGCACAATGAGACAATAATTGTTAAGATATAATGTATGCAGTTTATCGTCAAACCATTTCATTCAATTCAATGCATTGCTATTTGGAATTTTAATCCTTAAAGGGACTGTACGCGTAGTTTTAAGTGATCCTCCATGCAAATATGACAATGCCTAATTTATACCCTTGAAATATTTGTTCGTTCAAGTAGGAATTTGTTAATTTTGAACTAATAATTTTCATTTGTGGTGTCTCAGCAAAAGTGATCTGCGCATTTCTTGATTAAAGAAACAATGGAGAAATTCACAGATATAAAAAATTTTCTAGTTAGAATGACGGTATCTTCCACATTTTTGGCCAGATTAATGATTCAATGGTACCGTTGTAAATCGAGCATTTCTATATTTGTATGGAGGATTACTTGAAATTACGCGTATAGTCCCTTTCAGGTCAATATTTTTAAAGTTAAGATAATATTTTAAAAACTAACCTTAAAAAACGGGTGGCAAACGGTTGTATATCGTTCAATAGCTATCGCAAGCGTCATGTAAATAGATCCTGAAATATATTAAAATAAAGAAATTGAGAAAAATTCTTTTTTGAATTATTGCACTTTTTTTAACTTTCATGCCCTGCAATAAAATTCTTTAATATCTTTCTTAAACAACTCTTTGACTTTTTTTTAAAATCATTTTAAAATAATTTTTAATGGCTTATAATACTAATGCATCATTATTTTGTCAGTTTTGACTTGATAAAATGCCTTGTTTACAGTTTACTAGTTTTTTTTAAATTCTAATTTGTTGTCAGGGCAGTCTCAGAATTAGTAATAACCAAGGTACTAATGCAAGGAAAGTTAATTGCGGTCGCGTATACTCTGCGTACAAATTGAAACCAGTTCTCTCTGGGCGGACAAGAATAGATGCATCAATGTATGTTTAGTATCCGAGGAGGAAAAAAGGATTTAATTTTGATAATTTTGAAAATTCACATAATAGTTTCCTATGACCAGAATATTTTATTGATTATTTTTGTGAAAATGGATTCCATGTCAGATTGTGACATCCGTCTTGTGTTTACTTTTCCGCCCAAAGACAGTACACTGCAGTATAAAAAAATGTGTACACCTTTGAAATAACTTTCCTTGCCTTAGTACCTTGAGAAGATGCAACTATTATTAAGAATAATACAATGAGCACCTTCTTTAAAAATGAATTAAAACAAAGTAAAAAGTTGACCTGTTAGCCCTATTTGAGCGAAGGGTAGAAAAGTTGTGACCATCCATTTGAACTCCAGTGTTCCTCCAATCCTAAAATATATATTTACAATTACTTTACAGGGAAGTTGGGGGGATTTTAATTTACCAAGGGTTCCTATGATCAATTTACCAAGGGTCCCTATAGACCAATTTACCAAGGGTTCCTATAGACCAATTTACCAAGGGTTCCTATAGACCAATTTGCCTACAAAACATCAAGAGCGCAGCGAGGGATGTTTCGTTGGCAAAATTGGTCGAGGGAACTCGTAGTCAAGTAACATTTTTAATTTCATAAAATTTTATCGTCTTTAGAGAGGAAAATGAGCGAATTTTTTCCTGAAAACTTTGCAGATTTCTTCAATGTTNTAATTTAATCTCCCTCTGTTGGGGAAATTATAGGTCAGTAATGTTGGTCATAAGGTGGTGAAATTTTTAAGTCTACAGTTTTTATTTGATTCTACGGTTTTTATTTGATTCTACAGTTTTTATTTGATCCTATAGTTTTTATTTGATTCTACAGTTTTTATTTGATTCTATAGTTTTTTTTGATTCTACGGTTTTTATTTGATTCTACAGTTTGTATTTGATTCTACGGTTTTTATTTGATTCTACTGTTTTTATTTTATTCTATAGTTTTTATTTGATTCTACGGTTTTTATTTGATTCTACGGTTTTCATTTGATTCTACGGTTTTTATTTGATTCTACGGTTTTCATTTGATTCTACAGTTTTTATTTGATAATACGGTTTTATTTTATTCTATAGTTTTTATTTTTGTTCTACGGTTTTTATTTGATTCTACAGTTTTTATTTGATTCTACAGTTTTCATTTGATTCTACGGTTTTCATTTGATAATACGTTTTATTTGATTCTACAGTTTTTATTTGATTCTACGGTTTTTATTTGATAAATGATAATACGGTTTTATCTTACTCTATAGTTTTTATTTGATTCTACGGTTTTATCTTATTCTATAGTTTTTGTTTGATTCTACGGTTTTATCTTATTCTATAGTTTTTATTTGATTCTACGGTTTTATCTTACTCTATAGTTTTTATTTGATTCTACGGTTTTATCTTATTCTATAGTTTTTGTTTGATTCTACGGTTTTATCTTATTTTTGATTCTACGGTTTTATCTTATTCTATAGTTTTTATTTGATTCTACGGTTTTTATTTGATTCTATAGTTTTTATTTGATTCTACAGTTGTTATTTGATTCTGTGGTTTTTATTTGATTCTACGGTTTTTATTTGATTCTACAAGTTTTATTTGATTCTACAGTTTTTATTTGATTCTATAGTTTTTTTTTGATTCTATAATTTTTATTTGATTCAATGGTTTTATCTTATTCTATAGTTTTTATTTGATTCTACAGATTTTATTTGATTCTATAGTTTTTATTTGATTCTATAATTTTTATTCTATAGTTTTTATTTGATTCTACAGATTTTATTTGATTCTATAGTTTTTATTTGATTCTATAATTTTTTTGATTCTATGTTTTTATCTTATTCTATAGTTTTTATTTGATTCTACAGATTTTATTTGATTCTATACGGGGCTTTTTATTTTCTAGTGCCATACTTTAGATTGAAATATTTGGCAACAAATTGGCAATTTCCATTTTGAAGACTCTGCAAGGAATTGAAAATATTAATGTAGAAATTGTTTTACTATTTTGAATTTTATTACTGACTGGAGGAGTTTTATTTTATTTAAATTGTAAAATCAATATATCTATAAACGTTTTCGATTCTCATCTTATTTTTTAAAACGTTTCTATGAAAACTATGAATCGGTGTGAGAAAGCACATTAAAATATTAATGTGTATTAGACAATACCTTTTTTTTTCAAAACTATTTAGATTTTTGAATTTTAAATAGGTTCTTCAAAATTATACAAAGTTTTTAAACCCTGAGAAGGATATAATAATAATAAAATATAATTTAAAACGAAATTTAACGTTAACAACAATACATTTTATAACTTTAGAAAAACTGAAATAAATAAAATAAAACTTTAAAAGCTAGGGAATTCCAAATGAGAGAATAAATATTTCAGAGAACTGGTTTTTCCTTTTAAACGGGAAAATATTCAATCATTTCCAGAGAAAAAAAGAAAAATAACGGGTAAAGAATTTCGTTTTTTTTTGTCCAAAATCTATATTTTTGATCATGTTTAAACTTACTCTGGCAATCTCCCTGCTGGTTGAATGAAGGGGGGGGGGGGCGGCAGATAAAAAGTTCTTTAAAAACAAAAGGAATTTGCTACACAAATTCTTATCTTTTTAGCGAATAGAAGGGAATACATCTTAAATTCAGTTTGTTTGCAAAAAAAGCTATAAATGAACAATGAAAAAAATAGAAGTGAATATAATAATAATGCAGCAGGCCCGTAGCTAGGACTTTCTAAAGGTGGGGGGAACAAAAGTTATAAATAGCAAAGATAGATATGTAAGGGGCACACCACATGCGAACATTTTTTTATGACCTGAAAAACTAGAGTTTTAACTTATCATACATTATAGTTTATTAAGATAGATATTTTGCCTATTTTCCTTACCCTTAATTAACTATAAAATAATTGAGCAGCTATTTGCATCATAACAAAACAAAAAACTGGAGGTATAAGATGCAGACATTTGAGTTACACCAAGGTTATAATGTAAGGAAAGTTAATTGCAGTTGCGTATTCTGTGTGTACATATTGAAACCAGTTCTCTCTGGGCGGAATTTGCAAAACAAGAAAAGATGCATCAGTGTTCGTTTAGTATCCGAGGAGGTTAAAAGCATTAAATTTTGATAATTTTGATAATTCACATAATAGTTTACTATGACCAGAATATTTCATTGATTTTTTATGTGAAAGATGGATCCCGTGTCAGGCTTCGATATCCGTCTTGTGTTTACATTACCGCCCAGAGACAGTACACTGCAGTACAAAAGATGCGTACATCTCTGAAATAACTTTTCTTGCCTTATAACCTTAAGTTATACTATAAATAAATGTACTACTGTAAATTGTTGAATCAAGAATAGCCAATACTTATTATTACTGGGTAAGTAAAGGATGTAAAGTCCTGTAAAGATAAAAAGCTCAAGCATAAAAATCTTCAGTTTTCTCAAAACTAAAATTCGAAAAAAACGTCACTGCAAGCTTGAAAACATATATTTGAAATATATTTACACTTACTTCGCTAGGACGCTAGGAACTCCAAACATAAGAATAAAAAGAAGAACGAAAACTTACTCCGGTAGGACGCTAGGAACTCCAAACATAAGATTAGAAAGAAGAACAAAAACTTACTCCGGTAGGTGCTAGGAACTCCAAACATAAGAAGAAAGAAGAACGAAAACTTACTCCGGTAGGACGCTAGGAACTCCAAACATCATAATAGAAAGAAGAACATACATCAAATCAAAGAAGGCCAGGAATTGCATCAGCTGATGGAAGTTTCTCTGGCCAGCCTAAAAATATATAGATTAGTTTCTTAACGTCAAAATACCGATTGGGCCTAGTTTTATGTGGCAAATCATATTACCCCAGGATGGTTTAAAAACATGTCAAGTTTGGACATGTTGCCAGTGAAAATTTATTACTTTAAATATTTATAAAAATCCCTTGATTGAAAAAGGAAAAATTAAAATTTTTTTAAAATTTGAAATCTAAAATGGAAATCTTTAAATATAAATTCTTATAACTTTTTCCTATACTCTTATTAGTTTTTGAACATGAGAAATTGCAGGAATCCAATTTGTAAAGATTCTTTTCAGAAAATTCAGCAAAACGTTAACAAAAACTTGAAAATAAAAGTTATTTTAAAAAAAGATTTAGCTAAAACAATATATTCTATTTAAAAAATGTAACCGTACTGCAAAAAGCTCAGTGATAACCAGAAAACTCTAAAACAGGAAGACGACTTTTTGCATTACTTAAGCCTATTTAAAGTTGTTTCAAAGCAAATTGATTTACATAGACGCTTATTAAATCATTAATTTTAACCAGAAAATTATACCTTGTCAAAAGTTCAAAAATCATTCACGATGTTTTTCACTTTTCCTTCCAAAACCAAATTTCGAAAATATTTGTTCTTTCTATCCACTGCAATTTTAAGATAATCTGTTGGAAAAAATTCAATTTTGTTAATGAAAAAAATTTGCTGAAAATAATTTTTATTCTTCAATATGTAATTTTATATTTTACTTTGCTTTTATATTTGTCGCAAAAAAACAGGAATTTTTATTCAACGATAAAATTACCGTAGATTTAAAAATAATCCTGAAGTAAAAGATTGTAAGAAAATTTGATTTTATACAGCTTTTTTTTCATTATGCCAGAGTGCACTCTTTCAAATATTCCTTTTCTCAATTTTTATTTTCCTTTCAGAATATTTTACGCCTTTTTGAAAGAATCCACTTCAATTTAAAAATTGTATAGAGTGTAGAGTTTCTCTTTTCAGGCATATTACACTTGATGCTGCCACCAGGCATATTACACTTGATGCTGCCATCAGGCATATTACACTTGATGCTGCCACTTTATAAGTTCAATCAAATTTTGATCTCAAAAGAACTAGGTAAGAACTAGGTAAGAACTAGGTAAGAACTAGGTAAGAACTAGGTAAGAACTAGGTAAGTTAATTTTGAATTTATGTGAAAAATATGCCAGACTGCAGCCAACTTATCGCAGAATCTTTTTGCTATTGATTTTAAAAATATAGGTTTATAAAAAGTACTTTCAGCAAATTTAAAGTTGCAAAAAATATTTCCAGCAGATGAAAATAAAAGAACAAAAAAGAGTAGTGGAACTAATTAGACTCTGTTGAACCACTTCTGGAATCGGCGTACAAGAAACGTACTTAATTTTATCCAAATACTATACTTAGTTCCTCTACTTTTCCCTATTCAATTTTTAAAAAGCCTCAAAAAGAACTTTAAATGAATCGAAGGAAAAATTCTGTTGATACGCCATGCAATTAAAATTAGTTTACTCTTTTTATTAGTTTACTGTTTTTGTCTAATATAGATAGGGAGGGAGGTGGGGGAGGGGGTGATTACCACCCTACCTCCTCCCAATCTATATTAGGGGGGGTGATTCCCCCCCCATGATTTTTCCCTTAGAGTTGAGATAGGGGAGTGTGATACATGTCCCTAGTCCAATTTTTCAAGGCCTGCTCATTAAAAAAAAATAGACCTTTATCTTTAATGGTTAGGGTGCAAGTGAAGATTTTAAAATGTTCAAAAAGTACGTCGGAAAAATGTTAAAATAAAATTTTTACTTTTTATTAATATGTGACACATGTTATTACATCCATTTTTCAAGAGCTTTTCAAATATATATATAAGCCTTTTAGCTTAATTAATAAAAAAGTTATAAACCATCTCTGATTTTTTTGAAATACCTTCTCCACCCTACGGCCATATGCATCAAAAAAAACTATATTTACAATTATGAAGTTGAAAAACAGAAGAAGTTTTAGCGTTCTAATGTCAGCGGTTTTTAGGTATTACTAACAAAAAACACGGGGTGGGGGGGGGATGGACCCCCCTCCCTTATCGTGAGAGGATTAAAATTCGGCAAGCACAATCGCTAAAACATGTATAACAATAGTTTTAAATGATTTTACTTTAGGTAAATTTTTTTCTGATACAAAATCACCCACCGTTGGATTTTTTACATTAAAAAATAATCCCTTTAGGCACATGATCATCACAATATCACATAAACGTCATAATTTTTAAGATTTAACTTTTTCGATACGAGTTATTGATGAAATGTCTCAATTTCTTTGTTCCTGACTCCTGAGGCCGAATTTAAAGAATTTAAGCCGCGGCTTAAAGTATGGTTCAACTTAAAATCATAGTTTTTTTTGCAAAACACTAAAGCTAGAGGTGAAATAAGTACCAACACATTATTTTGCTGAATTACCTTCATTTTGTAATCCAATATCTTCCAATAATGGCGAAGAAAGCTTAAAGATACACCAGTAACTCTCATATTAATTGTGTACAGCAGTTCCCGGAGTCGGATATTAAAGGGAGTATCGTTGAACGAAACACTCGGTTTTCCCTTTTTGCGTCTGTACATTTGAGTAGATTTTACTTTAAAAGGAGTGTTCGCGAAAAATGAAAGGGGGTAATTTTACTACTATCTGTTACGTCTATAAGGAGAAAATTGCTAAAAACGACTCATACCGAAGAACGTAGGGTCCATACAAATTCAGAACGTTGCAATATTCAACTCAGATCGTAAAAGTATCTATTTTAGTCCAAACAAATCATTCAGATATTACAACCTATAATCATCGATTTTTTTCGACACATTCGTATATATAGTTGATATTTATTAATGTTTTTTTTTTTTTTATACGATACACTAAAAACGAAGTCCGCTTGGTGTATGTCCCACGTGGAACCACAGACACAATGAGAGCAGAGACACCTGGCGGCCAACTGATCGTCATTTAAAATGCATCATATATATATATATATGTCATGTCATGTGAGTTCCAGAATTTACCAAACCAAATAATTTTACCTTCCTACAAAACCAGATCAAACAGACAGTGTTACCCAGAGTTCCAAGGAGTCCAATACTTATCTAAACAGAGCCTAAACTTAAAATAGAATTTAGTCATGAAACCCAGTATCAGAAACCCAGCTTGACAATTTTGTAGAAATATTGTCTTATTCAGTTTCTTCATATTCTCTATCTGTTTTCTAATTTCTTAAATCAAAATCTACACAAATGCTTGGACACCATAAAGGCAAGGCAAGGTTATAATGCAAGGAAGTATACGCAACTGCAGTAAACTTTCCTTGTATTATAACCTTGGTTTTACCCTTACAAACCAAGAAACCTAGAAAAACGACAATATCCTCTGTAATATTGATCAGATTAAGATTTCAAGTGTATAGTTCTGAAAGGAGCATTGTCAACGTTGTACGGAGGGTAACTTGAATTTACAGTTACGGTTACACTCCCTTTAACTGCCTATTTTTATCCTTTTCTGAACATTTAGTTAATGTTGTGAACATTTTAGCATATTTGGCAGGAATGCTTGAAAGTATAAGAAAATATTTTTTTTTCAATCTAAAACCATTACACAGAAATTTTGAAAAGATTGGAAGTTTTTAGCTAAAGAAAAAAAAACTTTTTGTTTGTTGGTGCCCCATAAAAACTTATAGCCATTATAGATTTTACTGATCCAGAGAGGGGGGGGGCGGCAAAACCTTAACAGCGCCCCCCCCTTAATACGCCTCTGAACTCAATGTATCTGTTGTCAGATTTATCTAACAAATTTTTTAAGAGAAATGTTTTAAAATTTCTTTCATTCCGTCGTTCGATATTTCTTATAACCGGAATATAATAGTTGAAATCTATCATGAACATTGAACCTCTTTCAGGAATTTGAGACGTTATTCTCCATTTGAAGAGTGGCATGTTCAATTCACAATGGTACCTGCATAAAAGCTTTGCCTGATTAAGCATGTATGATAGGAATTTGTCAGAATTAAAAACTTTTCTGATTTGAAAAATGATTATACAGAGTGTCCCAAGAAACATGACAGTTGGTGAATAATTTAAAATGTCTTCTTCCATAATTACTAAAGTTGTTTAATACCAAAGACAATTATTAGAATATTTAAAGGTAGTCGTATTATTGTAAAATTGATTTCAAAGTAAAATATATTTTAGTAAAAGATTTTATTGAACAAAAAAATGTAAAAAGTATATGGAAGAAGACATTCCAAATTATTTACCAATTGTCATGTTTCGTGGGACACCCTGTATCTTCCACGTTATTGATCAGATACAGGGTAAAGAGGAACCGTTCTGTTTGATATAAATAGCACTGAGTTATTTTAGTTTTTAAAGTGTTACTCACAAAACATTAGATTGTACAGACGACCTGAGGGTAATTTAGGTCTTCTGCCTAAACGATATTCTTGTTAATGTATATCTAATGATCTTGTCAAGAGTTAAACAAGTTTACAGATGCAGAGAACCGTAAATGTCAGAAAACCGACAGTATGAATTCCGTACAGTCGTCTCTGAAGTCTCATTCTTTGTGGCTAACTCTGTATCATCTTTTGATATATTTTTTGCATTAAAAAACAAAATCTTGTTATCAATATTACCAATCCAACTCCTTCGACGAGAAACCTAAATGTGGAGGACATTTTTTCTGAAAACATTGTTATTAATATTATGTTTAATAATGAACACTGCAAATAACCCCAAAAAAAAAATAATAATTCAAACGTTCTATAAAAAATAAACTGTCGGAGAAGACTTTATAATCTTAAATATTTTTTTTTTATTTTTTTACCGAAAATATTTAAATATTTGACCTTGACTTGTCGTACTTATCTTTGCGTAATAAACGAAAAACGACAGTACAAAAAATGCGTAATGGGATGTGTCATGCTATTGTGTACATTGTACAACTGCAAACAATTCGTATTGCAGAGATAAAAACAAAGAAACAATGAATAAAACGTGAAAATGTAAAATTTGTATTGAGAAAAATAGAAAAGATTATTTATTGTTCATTTTTCTATTACAGATATTCCATTTATCATATATTTGGTATATATCTAATAAAGACAGTAAACAGACAGTAAACAGACAGTAACAGCCAGTAAACAGACAGTAAACAAACAATGACAGACAGTAAACAGACAGTGAACAGACAGTAAACAGACAGTAAACAGACAGTAAACAGACAGTAAACAAACAGTAACAGACAGTAAACAGACAGTAAACAGACAGTAAATATACAGTAAACAGACAGAAAACAGACAGTAAACAGAAAGTAAACAGACAGTAAACAGACAGTAAACATACAGTAAACAGACAGTAACAGACAGTAAACAGACAGTAAACAGACAGTAAACAGACAGTAAAGAGCTAGACAAAAAATAAAAAGAAGCAAATGTAAATGTAGATAAACAAAATAACAAAAAACAACAAAAACAAAATCATTTATTTACAGAAAAAAAATAATCCCGAATAACAGATAAAAAAACATGCAGACAATAAGCAAGATTTAGATAAGTCATATATGTTCTGAATCACAAATCTAAGGATAGAATAAAATCTGTCAAATCTTCTTAAAAATTTACTTTTTCTTTTATTAATATGTCATGCATATAAAAATCTCCAATGAATTGTTTGTCAATTAAATATTTTACATTATTTTTAAAAATAAAAAATAATGCTTAATTTCGTTGTCAATCTTTATTATTTATACTATTTATTTTAGAAGTATATTTATCACTTCTAGTTCTAAATACATGATAAATATAAAAGGAGAGGAAGTTGAGAAGGTTTTCTTTGATTCCAGGCTCCGACATTGCTGATTTTGCGGATATTATAATACTTTTTCGGGGATTTCATATCCTTTAAACTTTGCAATGTTTGAAAATTGTTTCAGTTATATATGCTGTGGAAATTAAGTTTAAAGTAAGAAAAAACATTGTCTTCGTAGTCTTACTTTACGCATACATAAACACAATACATAATAATGTGCGTGCCAGTCGGATCGCTTCACGTACGAGGGTGCTAGAGCGTCGGGAAACCCGTCGGTAGAAGGGTGCAATTAAAGTATTTTCATGCTTTAGTATTGTTGCAAATGTTGGTTTCTATTGTGATATTAGATGTTATTTACTGCCCAGATATTATATAGAATTAAACACAATTTGTCTTTTTTACATGGTGTCCTAAATAAACACTTGGAAATAGTGGAGAGTGTGGCATTTTGAGATATGTTATGAAATTCTATACCGGTACTTTTACCATTCTGTTAAAAAATCAAACAATTTTTAGGGGCTAGTTTGAATTTTTTACTTGTATTTTTCTGAGACCCCGGCTCTCATATTGAAAATCCTGTAAATAACAAGGATGAAGAAACACAATTGAATAAATCAGGTGGATTGCAGATCTTATCATATTTTCTGAAATGGATATATGATCCCTGATCAGGGGGGGGGGGCTTAGATTTTTAAGTATAGGGCTATATTCTCCTAAATCATAACATGAATTTTTTTAGTTTTAACAAAAATCAAGCATTTGCCGCCAATGGGCCATAATTGCGCGCAAACAAAATTTGTCGAGCACCACCCCCTAAAAATTGAACAAAAAGCAGTAAATTCCTATTTCTTATTTGTTAAAAAAAATACAAGTTCACAAACTCCAGTTATCCCAATTTCTGTCTGTAAGCTCCAGTTCTTCTACTTTCTATCTGTAAACTTCAGTTCTCCTACCTTCTTTCTGTAAACTCTAGTTCTTCTACTTGCTATACGTAAACTCCAGTTCTCCTACTTTCTATCTGTAAAATCTACTTCTCTCCTACTTTCTATCTATAAACTCCAGTTCTCCCACTTTCTGTCTGTAAACTCCGGTTCTCCTACTTTCTATCTGTAAACTCCAGTTCTCCAACTTTCTATCTGTAAACTCCAGTTCTCCTACTTTCTATCTGTAAACTTCAGATCTCCTACTTTTTATCTGTAAACTCGAGGTCTCCTGCTTTCTATCTGTAAGCTCCAGTTCTCCGACTTTCTATCTGTAAACTCCAGTTCTCCTACTTTCTATCTGTAAACTCCAGTTCTCCTGCTTTCTATCTGTAAACTCTAGTTCTCCTACTTTCTGTCTGTAAACTCCAGTTCTCCTACTTTCTATCTGTAAACTCCAGTTCTCACTCTTAGTATAAATAATAAGACGAGAAAACAATTTAAACTGGTATTTCAGGTTATTTATTCAATTCTTTTTCCGTTGTGTCTTTCATCCTCGACTGATGCTTTTGATACATATCACAAATTTCCTTAGGAGGGGGGGCCCCCCCTAAAGGAGCACAGGGTGGGGCCCGTGGGCCCAAGTGCCCCCCTCTAATCCGCCAAGCATGATATAAGATGAAACGTCCGGCTAACTTTATTTCCACTCTTCCACGGTAGGGGGGGGGGGGGGGGGAGGGGCTTGAAAATTAATTTGATATTTTTGTTTCTTTAAACCCTGATTAAAATAAGAGCATTTTGCATATCTACGGGAAATTGCACCACAAATTAAACCCAAAACAAACAAAAACAAAAAAGTTCCTTGAGAATTAAGATTTTGATATACAGGGTATCCCACGAAACATGACAATTGGTGAATAGTTTAAAATGTCTAGTCTTCCATAATTTGATAAGTTGTTTGATACTGAAGAGACTAATAACATTTTTATATGACAGTTGTATTATATAAAATGGATTTCACAGTAAAATATATATGAGTTAAACATTTTTTTAAAGAAATAAACTGCAAAAAGTTTTTAATATCCAACACAGTATGTCGAAGAAGACGTTCAAAACTGTTCACCAACTGTCATGTTTCGTGGGACACCCTGTACTTGAACAGGGAGGAAATTATCTGGTTAATACAGGGTGTCACAATAAACATGGATGTCAATTGGCTACATATGTATACGCACACTTTATAGACAGAAGATGAATCATGCGACATAATCGGCATGACTTTGCGACCTTGCAGCTCCTCTGACTTCGATTTTACGCCTCAAATTTAATTAGGAACATATTGAAAATTCAAAATATTTTTGTTTTTCTAGATAGCTCTTCAACTGGAGGAACTAGAGAGTAATGATTGAAAACAATATTTTGTGTTTTTTCCTTTACAAAATTATCATTAATATGCATTACTTCTATAAAAGCAATTAATTCAAATCTGTTTGTAATAATTATATAAATTTTTTTCAATCATGGAAAAATGGCAAGTATAAATAAGATATCAATGTTTATAATTTTTAATCTGATTGTTTTCAGTTGTGGTTTCTGTACATAAGAGACAATTGTGCATTTCTACTGCGAGAAAATATATAGGAATTGTCATAATTAAACACTTTTTAATAAAAAGTGTTTAATTAATACGAGGGTTTCCAACTTAATAGATTATTTACTTATGCGAAATTACGTGCAGTTACGCAAAATAATTTTCATCTCGTGTAATTTCGCAGGATTTCGCGTAATTGGCGAAACTTCAATTACGCGAAATTACGGCGTAATTTCGCGTAATTTCAACAACGTTATTTCGCGAAATTTTGTAATAATTACGCGTAATTAGCGAAACTTCGATTTCGCGAAATTACGCCATAATTTCGCGTATTTTCTGCAAAAGTAATTTCGCGAAATGTTGCAATAATTACGCCTAATTAGCGAAACCTCCATACAAACCAGCCTATAGGAGAACATTTTCACCTTCCTGGAGTTGGACATGAACTCTACCATCTAAAAGTCAGCGTACTAGAGAAGGTTTGAGACCTATGTGAGAAGTTTACTTGAAGTACGAGAATCTAAATACATGAGATTTTATGACTGAACTCAGAGGAATGAACAGAAAAAAATAGGTTTTATTTAATTGTAAACTTTAATTCAGTATTTTTAAGAAAAAAAGAGTATTGTTTTTGTCCAATTCTTTAAAAGGTTTAAATACCCTTCCTTAAACAAGCCCCCCCCCCCCCCGGTTTACGTAAAAGTTCGTTAATTAGATCGACCCCCACCTCCACTTTAAACACTTAATCTTTATTCGACAAAACAATCTCAAGTAAGAATGATTGTCTTAAAACATTTTTTTAAAAGTGAATATTTGCAAATTATCTTTTTTCCATCTCATAATCTGAGTTCGTTTCCCTCATGTCCATTTGACAGCCCAAATTTTTATTCTGAAAAATCTTTTTTGTTTGTTTATTTTCTTGTGGTTTTTTAATATCGATTTTGATGTTCTATAACGTTAGAACTGCACAAGGGTCAACCTAGACCAAAATATATTTTCAATAAAATGTGGAACTAACATCTACTTTATTTTCTCTACAGAGGTTTGGTCCATCACCATATACAAATTTTAATTCAATTTGAAAGTATTTAAATTATCCAATCAGATTAGACATGGTTGTAGCGCGCATATCCTTATGATATATTTTCCCGCTATATTCATTTCTGAGAATTAATTTATGTACTTTACTAATTACGGAATGGTTTCGTATTACGTGTAACGTAATTTTGACTGGAAACCCTACTTTTTTAGCTTTAAAAATGTATTTACATTCCAAATTGTTGATAAGATAAAAGTTTTAGGAACAGGTTGAGAAAATGAAAATTAACTCTTATCATCGAAAATAAGTAAGTCTCAAT